ACTTTTATAGTAGTTTTAAACAATAATCTATTTACGCGGCTCATAATATATAATATATATTATGTAAATAATTATTTAAGCGGTATACCAAGAAACTACGTAATTCATGATCATGTTCAAACTACGCATTCACATGTGAAATCGGTAAAAGTAATAAAACATTTTGTTTGTGAGCACTAATTTTATAATATCTATTCAATTACACGTCTTTCCCATTAACACCAACCAGTGTTGAAAAAAACGACGTCATCTGATGTATACCTCCCATACTGTTCTGTTTAATACTTTATAACAATGTCTATTTCTAACTACCTATAAATAGTATAAATATAGGTATACAATATTACACTAGCGTCATTAGGGAAGGGAGGGTGGCAAGAAGAAAATTCCCTCTGTATAATTACAAAAATAGGTCAGTTATTAATGATGAGAATGACCAAATTTACAAACTAAACCTTCTTATAATTTATATATTATAGATAAATTGAATAAAGCGATGTGCATAATAGCATTTACATATTTCTACGTTCGAATTTTAAAAATATACATTACATTTATTAAAGTTTTATAGCCAACTTTGCTACTACCGGGCATATGTAATGTACTACTCATGTGCGGTGTGCCTGTTTCAGTCCAAATGATAAATTATTGCCCATTACTTTTATACATACTTCAAGTCACCGTATTTTCATAAAATATAACTAATAACCTGTACTACTATTATAAATTAATCGTTGATTTTCGACGTCCGGTTAGGTTAGGTTAGGATTTGACACGGTTGTCCGGTCGCTGAAAATTGTCGCGTCCATAATGATTATATTTTACGTTCCGTTATATCATTATTATAGGAAATTAGGGACGAATGACTGCGATGGACCATCTATACCTATACCGGCTATACCTAACATACATAGCGCCCGGACGCGGTTGTCGTTTTGTCAGCAAAACGGGTTTACACAATATAGAGTCAAATATTCTGTACAATAATAATAAGTAATAATAATATTAAGTATATAATGACAGGTGGCAGTAGGCAATACTCTTGTATTTATAATTTACACCTAGCTGTATACTTACCGCCACCGGTGTCCAGTTATTAATATGTTTGTACTATGTATCGGTTGGTGTTGCCTAATATTATTTTATACGTCATCGTTTCGATATGGAGCCGTCCGTTCCGTGTACGAGAGACAATGTCACAGCAGCAGCAGATCGTACAGGTATACAACGTAGTAATTACGTAGATAAACGCATTAATAACCTTAACGGTAGAATATTTTACGTACGGTTCGAAATCGTTAAACGAATTTGCATAAAATCCAGGTACATAAAAGAGATTGCGTAAATAATATAAACGCATCTTGTGTACTATAATATTATATCTTCATATATTATAGCTATAATGTATAAGACTGCGGGTTTGATGGCAATATTATTACTACGGAAAACTACATGAATGCTAAGGTTAACTACTGTATAGGACTCGTTAGCTACGAAGACGGGTCTAAGCGATGTGTAAAAGTTTATGTATAATAGTTACTTGAAATTAGGCTCATTCGCATTCTATACGCACGACGAGCAATTCAGATAATAATTTTGTACAACTGAAAAAATACCTTTTATTTACTGGCGTCGCGTGTAAATTCTTGTAACATTAATGTCAGAAAACGTAATTCCAAACAAAATTTACAAATATAACAACGAGAAAAACATAAAATAATCATGCTTATAAACAAAAAAACATGGTTTTAATATAGTTAATACGCGTTTTATAGTACCTACGTATTTTTTTCTTATACGCTTCCATAGTAGGTGGAGCATGGCACGTATATAATTAACTTAAATCATGGTAATTTTGATAATTTTCAATTGTCAAGATAAACGGTCAAATAAAAATGTGTAATAATATTCCGTTTCATGACTAAAATTATTTTTAAATTTAATAAATGAATAACATAATATGTTCATAATCGTGAACGATTCGGAAAATTAAAAATTCATATAACCACTGTTAATATCATAATTTAAGACTTACTATTAATTAACTTATTTGAGCCTTTATTTATTTTCTTAGATTTAAAATCATATCGTTTTACTAATATAATTAAAGTATTCATAATTACATAAGGTATATCTTCGTAGCAACATATTCTCACCATATTTTATATAATTTTCTTTTTTTTTATTATAAAATACATAAAATGCATTTTGCAGATACATTTATCCTCATTAGCTCTAGAACTCTGCGTGAATATCATTACTGGTATCTGACACTATATGTGGCTGTGTAACGAGTACTTATCATATTCAATTAAAATATAAATAGTATTTGTATCATAAGTATGCGCAGGTTTTATATGGATGCATAAACCAGTTTTAACGACTTACAAATTGATAATAACTTTATAAGATCTATTAAACGGGATGAACAAGTTGAACCTCAACTGAAAAATCGTGACTATATAATATGATCTAATTACCGTTCCGAAGGAATATTTTTCACCTTTTTTTCCGAAAGGTTAACATGTGTTATTTTGAAAAAAAATATTTGCACTGTTTGAGGTAAGTTTTATGTATTTAATTGACCTACTTAACTTTACCAATATTTCCAATTAAGTATCAAATTGAATTTAAACAAAACTGTGTGATTAACTATAATAATATGAACTATAGAAATTTAAAAAAATTTTTGGGTTTTAATTTTTTTACGTTTTATATTTATATACTTATTTTCATGAAGTCAAAAATCAAAAACTAAAATAAGTCTAGGGAAAGTAAGTACAATCTACTGTAGGTATTGATTTTTAAAAACTTTTAAAGGCATCATTAAAACCTATGTATAGCTCCATGCTACTAAGTATTCAGAAATTCGGAATATAAAAAATTAGTACATTCCCTATCAAAATATTTTACTCTAATAAAATAACTGAATTTTTATTTATGTGTACCTAACACCTGTATCTGCGGTATTTGTAGTTTATCAAATTTAAACATGTAGCACAAAAGTATATGCAAATAAGTTGATAAATATAAAAATAAATAATTAATTATACTTTAGTCTAAAGAAGTATTATCGAATTTGTACTTTTTTAAAAATATGAACTGTTTTTGAGCTAAGAGTTTTCATCATATATGTATATTAAAATGAGTCATGAATTCAAAATTTGAAATTACCTAAATATGTATGCATATTGCATGTGTATATAATACCTGTTATAAGTATAATGTAGGAATAATAATAATAATAATATAAGTTTATGATACAATAAGGAATATTATGAATTTTCGTTAAAAAATAATGGTTAATTATTAAACGATATGAAAGTATACTTTAACTAACCAATCATGGAAAGAACATCAAATTCTTACTAATTAGTGGCTAATTTACTCTAAATTTTACTTCAAAATAGGTACTAAGAGTGTGAACCAAAATTAATTTTTCTTCAAATTATTGCAATATTTTCAAGATACTATACATTTATTTCGAATTAGCTACCAACTACGAAACAATTGAACTATCGAAGATTTTAGTATTAAGATTTGAATATATAATATAAATCAATTTATGTATTTATAATATACAAGATAATTATCAAAATAGATAAATATTAAACTATAAATAATACAAAATTATACATATATACTCGGTAGGTATTGTTTTATAAATTAATAACAGTTGGCGATATTAAATGAATTATTAAAAATAGGTATGTAATTTATACTTGTAATAAATTAAGTTCAACTTATCATTTACTGTAAAAGAAAAATAAATTATTATCTAATAGCAAAATAATTATTGAATACATAATAAAATATAGGTTTAGACGATTTCCGTTAAGAATCATTTTTCGAATACAATAATAATTGATCATTGAATTAAAAAAAAAAAAAAACCAATGACTAGGCACACCGCAAACTCACGCCTATACTGTATACAGCAAGCGGACATACCTATTTTTATTTATTTATAGGTATTTAGAACATTGCAGAGCGCGCCTTTAATGAAATTACCAAAGGCAAAAAATTATTTTTTTTACTTTAATTAAACCGTCAGATTATTTCCAAGAATAATTATTCAACTTCTCAATAAGAAATATAATATATTACTTACTACTTAAATAGTTTGCGAAAGCTACAATTTTGTAATATTATAGATATGAGTATTTTAACGATTTTTAGATATCATCACGGCTATAATAATATTATAATATATATCTTATGTCAATATTTTTTAAAAATTATCTATACAGATCGATATTAAATGGAATTTCAAGTATAATATGTAAAAAAATACATTTTGACGAGTAACTGTTTTGTTTTAATTAATTTAATCATATCTCGTTCTCAAACTATTGGACAATAAATTCTCCGAGTCCCTATAATATTTTTATATAGGTATATTACAAATGACCTATACGTGCGTATTACCTAACCGTATTCGATGTAATGATACACCCAAGCCCGGATTAAGCTTTTTGAGACCCTCATATGAAATAATAAAATATTGTCAATGATTGTTTTTTTTTTTTATATTCATAAATCATATGAACTACTCATTTATTTTCAAGCTTTTGCTAAAACAAATTTTTGTTTCAGATGTATACATTTCTCATTTTACACTGAAAATAATTTTAAATTTTGTCGCAAGAAAGCTATTTGGAATTGGGGGTATCGAGTGTTTTATTTTCCAAATTTTGATTTTTTTCTTTTTTTTCAATAAATAAGAATTTTATTCGTGTTACATATTACACGATATATATTTTTTTTTTTTTTACACACAATATTAACTGAGTAATCATTAATTATTAATAATGTACCTATACGGTGCAAAACAGAGGCCAACAAAAAAAAAAAAAAATCTCAAGTCTCGTGACTCGATCACTTAATCCAGGCTTGGATATACACCATCCACCTATACGGGCAGTATAACGTTATAATATCTATACTACAACGACGGGGTAGAATAATATTATTATTAAGTCTAGGCGTTTCCGACGTACCCGCGTTGGCGTTCTTCTGAGGCACCGCGGCGTACGACACGCAGGCGCCGGTCTCGTACGTCACGGCGGCGCATTGGTCGTCCGACTTGCAGGCGTCTATGCACTGCGGCAACGTGAACAGCGCCAACTGTTCGCGCATCGCGTGCTTGGCCGCCGGACTGGCCGCGTATCCGGTGAGCAGTTCGAAGCTGACGTCGCCGCCGTCGCACTTGAGCGACGCGGCCGCCGCGCGAGCGCGACCCGCCGTCGCAGCCCCGACGACCAGCAGCGACAGGGCCACGGACAGCGGGTTGAGTCGCCGCGGGTGCGGGTGCATGACGTCTGCAGCTCCTTCCGCCGCTTTGGGGGGGAGGGAGGGGGCGTCGGCGGCGTCGAAGTGTGCGTATAGACGCGACGGTGACGGACTGACGATAAATTAAAAAAAAAAAAAATAAATAAAAATAATAATAATATTTGTATTGGAAAAAATAAAATTATTTTATTTTTTGGGCGCGCGCGAAATTTAACGCGGTCGTGTCGCGTGTAAGTTTTGACGTACGTCGTTGTGCGATGGGTCGATGGGTATAACTCGCGGTGCGGGGCGTGGAGGTCGCGACGTCGGTGCCGCGGAAAGCCGAATGAGACTGACGCGCCGGAAGACTCGCGAGTGCGGCCGACTGTGGTCCGCGGGCACGTGGTCGCGGCGCGGCGGCCGTGGTTTCCGGGAGTCATGAGCGGGAGAGAAGAACCGCTGGAAGGAAAGCCACCGCCGCCGCAACCGCCGTTTCTTCTCCGCGACGATTATACGTATTATTATTCGCATTTTGCGTTTAATATTAAATTTACACCTATATAGGTGTACATTTATTTTCATCATCGCTACCTTATTAAATTTATTACTATGCCCGTTGCCGAAATAAATAATAGACGTGTATTAGCTTCGCACAAACAAATAATAATAATATAATATAACAACTGCGTCAACATCTCGCTATCGGACCGCGGGAAACGCGAGCGAATGACCTAATAGAAACCCCGTTACTACGAATCATAAATAATAATATGTAACAAATTATTTCATTTCCACTATTATCGCATTACCCATCTCACCTGTAAATATAAGTATACATATATTTACGAACAAATATAGTACGCGTATTCGGGTAGAAAGGCAAGTGTCAACAATATTACAATACAGTCGCGTCTCTCTGCAGTCTTCTCGTTCGAAATTAATGACCAGAACGTTATGTTTATGTATATGACGTGTCCCTATTAAATATCATAAAATATAATTCAACGCCACGACGATGCCGCCTGGGCACTACAGTTTCAATTATAGGTACCTACCGACATTTATCTGCAGCATGAATATGCACACCTCGCGATTCACCTTTTGGAAACATTAACGCCCGCGCACCGTACAGACCAACATTACATTTTGAATCAAATACGATATTATTAATTACGAATTTGTGACTCGGTAAGATGTTTGCTAAATTATTGTTCTCGTGCTCTTTCTTGTATAATGTTTAATTTTAAACTTTAAAATTATAGGTAGGCGCTTTTAGGCCCCCCTACACCTAAGAAATTTGTTTCTTAATAAATGTAATTTATTACAGTTCATTAATCATTTATTTACCTATTTACATAACTTGCCAAATATTTAGCAACAACAATCTTTATTATAGTTCTATACAAATTTCTGTAATAATTAATCAGCTATAGGAAGTAGATATATTTTTGTTATAGACTAAATTATATGTTAATAGTAACATATTTACAAATATTAGTGAATTATTCAATAAATAATTTATATATTTTTCTAAGATCATGCTATCGTTTACGAACATTTTACCCGAAATTGGATTACTATACAATATTGAAAAGAAACGTTAAAATAGACCAGGGGTCACCAACTGGCGGACCACGGTCCGGATACGGACCTTGAGTACTTTTTTTACGGACCGCAAGCGCGTTTTCATTTTATATTAATAAATGAATTTAATATGAATAAATAAATAAATATAAATACAAATTTAAAAAATGTATTTACCTACTATTTATTAACGTGTATATAATACCATTTGAATAAATAAATAAGTATAATCACAAATTTATAAATTATAAATACCTATTTATTAACGTGTGCAAAAGTCATTAAAACTGTTTGGACCGCGTAAAGTTTGGTAAGTTCCAAAACGGACCCCCATAGAAATTAGTTGGTGACCCCTGAAATAGACGATCCCAAGCATATCGTCTATCAAAATGTTTATTTATTTATTTACAAGTATTATATATTTTTAATTTATTTTACCGTGGTAATAATAATTTAATATGGGACGTATATCAATTGCGTCGAAATGACCTTTTTACTTGTAACAAATCTATCGATTACGCCACTTATCAACTCCACCGAACTTTTTTGCATATTGATTCCGCTGGCTATCAATTTGCTGAATATTTGTAAGTTATTTACTCACTGTCCAACTATGCCTAATATATTATGTGATATATGTACTATGTAGCTATCGCATATTATCGCGTCAGTTTTACAAATATTAATCAATATATCATCTAAAAAAGTTTTAAGAAAAGTCATATTATAACCTGTAAGTATATTGTATTATTAGTCATAAAAGTAAATACACGTCCTAGGGTGTCGTTAAGGATGTAGGAAAAAAGAAAAATATATTTTAAATTTATATAATCGTTTCATGACCAAGGAAATAAATTTAGTTAATTATTTAAAAACATTAGGCTGTAAATTTATTTCAATTTAATTATGTATAAAATTATTTTCTATTTATACAAAATTAAAATTATTTATTTTTTTTTTTACAATAAAATATGCTTAATTTTTAACTGTCAATTAAATATGTGCGGTGATGAACTATCAACCTTTCAAATTTACCTTTTTAACGATAAAATAAGTATTTGTGGTATTGAACAGTGTAAAATGTGTGGTTATGAACGGTAAGTATTCGGTAATGACGACCGCCGACGTCTTATTGATCATAATCTTAAATATTGTTCAATACATTATGTGTTCAAGTAATCGAAATTTAGTGATAGTTGAAGTTTTATACGCGTCTCGTGTTACACCTTGTAAAAATGAATTTTGAAATTATTATTAGTGAATGGAATAATTAATTATAATCTTATATACAAATTATAAATTAAATATTAAAAATTAAAATTATGAATGATGACTGATGTTTTTTGAAATGTTTATATTAAAAAAAAATAAATAAACTGAGTGGCCTATTTTATTATTTAAAAATATACTTTATATAACCAACATAAACAAATACTCGGCGGAATCGATAGCCGGCGGAATTGATAAAACCCCGTAATATGATTTATTTGTAGTTTCCAATTATTGCCAAGTGTCCCGATTTTTAATAAATAGAGTTCCGGTGTCCCAATAAAGTGTGTCGAAATATACAATTGTCTCAAAATTAACTTCAATAATTATGTTTACAATTCATCTTTTATAGAAAAATTTAGGTACTGTAGAAGAACTGATTACTTGATTGATTAATAAAATCCATTTTAAAATTATTTTCCCGACTTGGTAACAACAGCGTTATTGATGAATACGTCCATATACGATTAAAAAACCAATAACGTCATCTGATCACATATACGTATACTTAAACGGCTATACGTGATAATGTTACAATAAATACTTATTTAAAAAATGTATTAGTACCTTCTACCTTTACGATCAATACAAACAATAGGTATATATAATTTTTTTAGTAAGCTACGTTCATAAACTTTTTCTATTACTTTACAGTCTGTTGCAACTATAGCACCATATTTGTCTCAAACGCATAGTCAACCTATTCGAATTCTAAACTGTTAATACAAACAAAAATCTAAATCTATATTATACATATAAGTAATGAAATATGAATATACTACACGTATTATAGCCAATTATATTGTTCTAAATACAGGTAAATTAATATTCATATCATCTGTGTTGTTGCCTATTACTTTCTATAACAACGTATCATTATTAGATTATAGGTAGGTATGTACTATTGTAGGTACATATTATATTATGTTCTCTATATAAATAATATTATTGTGCACATCATTATTTAAACCTAAGGTGGTATATAATATTTGTAAATTAAAATGCAATTTGTACCTGTCTGGGTCATATATTATTCTTAAATAATAATAAACCACCAGAAGCAATGGCAGATCAGTATATATGTATATCTATCTATTATTATCCATTGACGATTGACTCGGCTATGTAGTATTTTGTATTTAATTTTGTTTTGCATTTATCGTATGTATCGTATCTACTATCTAATATCTATATAAGCCATAACACAACACGCATGCAATGCAAATATTAATGAACAAAGTATTAAGAGTAGGTCAGTATACGTATTATATGATACATACTCAAAAGTGGAAAAGTGTTGGTACTAATGACAAAATAATATATGACAAACTGGTTTTATAAGAATAAAGAACGAAAAAAAATTAATGTCACTAAGATTAATAGAAAATAAAACCATGTTGTAAATAAGCCATTAGTTAATTACGTATTAAACAATTGTTCATGCAATCATAAAAAACTAATACTTTAACATTATTACGTATACCTATTTTAAGGCCGAATAAGTACAATATAACTAATTTATAAAACAAAATTCCATTTTTATTTTAGTCAAATTAATCTATAATCGCATTATAAAGAGTTAACTATGCTTTTCATAATAGATTTATGATTTTGTTTCTGAAGAACGATCATTATAAAATCTTTACCTGAAAAAAAATATTTTAACATTTTAACTCTTTTATTTAATTGATAGTTAATTAATAGTGTTTTATTATATGATTTATATATGTATATCTAGAACCTATTTGTTAATAATTATTACTAGCTACTTACTTATTAATTTATATAATACACAAAAAGATGGTGTAAGATAATATTATATATTGTATATTTGTATAACATGTATTTTACAACATACATACATTATTTAATAATTATAGTAAAATATAATTTCATTTCATTAAGAATAAGTTAGTTTAGTAACTAAAGCAATAATACACGCGTTATAATCAAATAACAAATGTTAGGTAATTTATTTTAAAAATTAACGTTATTCTTAAATGTATACGGTGATGATGAAGATAATAAGAAAAAAAATATATGTGTATAAGGTAACGCATGACATGTATACATTTCAAAATATATTCAAAATATTATTTGTCTAAAAAAAATGTTTAAATGAAATTTACCAGGTGCTACCAGTACCTCTCGCCTTTTAGAACCCATTCGTAAAACCGTTAACTCGTTAGTCGGATCCAAGTTTCTGACAAACCCCTTTGCGTTGTCAGCCAACTTCGACATCATTTCAGCATTGTTAACAGACGATCTCATGTCTAGAGTTGAAGTTATGAGATCACCTAAAAAATTATAATCTGTGTCAAATATATAGGCGTGTACACTAGGAGTTTTACCCCCCCAAAAAAAAATGTGTACATGCTTCCGAAATATAGGACATATTCATATAGATCATAAATTAATGACGAAAGATTGATTGTCAAAAGCACTAATTATTAGGAGTCGTGTGTATGAATAAGTTAATAAGCTTGTTGTGATCCCAATTATTACTAACAACTATAATAAGGCACTACTAAAAAATACACACCATTATTGTTTACGACAATGACACCATCAACTCCGTTATGAGATTGGATACGTTTCACAGTTTCTTCAAATTCATGGTGAATATCATTCATTTTCTAGCTCAAATTTTTAAAATTAGACAATAAGCTATACTTATAATTTAATAAGTATGATTATCTATCGTTCAAATAGACCGAAAATATTAGTCAAATTATACAAGTTGTGTCTATGACTACACATATTGCATATCTACGCTAAACATCATAATACATTATTATTTTTATCGTAATTTTTAAGGAGTTATGCATAGGCAATTATTTTTATTCAAATGCGCACGACTTATTAAACATTTTATAAATTTTTAAATACAAAATAATTTTCAAATTTTCGTAATTTTGAAAAACTATATTATCCAAGTTCTAACTTAAAATGCTTATAAAAAACATCGTGCCTATGCAACTTTTATTATTTTTAAATAACTGCAATTACAACATAAATAAATTTAATAATCGACCATTTTAACCAAATAATTTTTTTTATCAATATGCATCGAAACTTGTGAAAAAAAATAAATAAAAAATGTCACATGCTTATAAATAGTTCAAAAAGAGTCAAAATATTTTAAATCATATCATATTGAGAAAAATTTATTAAAAATGTAGTAACAATTTCAAGTACCTACTTATGTTTATTTTATTTTTAATTACATCGAAATAAGATAATCAATTTTGTCGAAAACTCGATTTACCTAATTTCCTCAGTAACTTAGAAAAATGCTAATGAGAAAAACATTTGATCTCCTAAATAGACGCATATAAACTCCGCCACGAGCACTTTTTTTAGTGAGAACTTCGTCAGAAAATAAAACAAGAAACGGTATAAAATGAATACAAAGGAATTGGAAGGCATGAAATAATGTGAGTATCACTTGATGGATTTTTCAAGGTAGATAATAATATATTGCTTCGACCCCAACAGTTCTAATAAATTCATTGCACTTTTTGATATTGCGCCTTAACTTGAACGTCATCAAACGCTATCAACGTATTTAATGTGGGAAAGCTTTAATACTGGCGGAGTTTCCATCAGACACTTTCATAACCTTTTTATCTAATTGGTATAAGGTATTTTGGAAGTGTTTACAATGTTAATGGCCCCTCCTAAATACTAAAAACTTTATAGATTTACTTAATTAATAGAAAAAAAAAATCGTAAGTGTAAAATCGAAGCATTTTTTTTTTTATTATTATTACAAGGAATTATTATGTAAAAATAATCATAATTTTAAAATCCATAATATGTCATATTTATCGTTCTGAATAGAATTAAAAAAAATTTAAATAGTAAAATTAAAATGTCTATAATAGGTGTAACGTGGCTGGGGAACCTAGTTACTATATTAGTTATCCAGGGAAGGTTTTCTGGTCCTTATGGATAAATTTTCCGTAGCTGGGGGGTTAGAACACGGTATGTGGGATCTTATCAATAAATAAAACACGTTTGGTTTATAAATCTCTGTTCAAAATATATTTTTGGTTTGTACTTAACAAAATGTAGATGGTGGTAAACAATCCCGGTGTTGGTGAGTTCATGTTTTTTGGTGAGTTCGTGTTTATTGCTGGTCAGTCTCGAACTGCTCTTTCGATAAACGGTGCGTATTGGCCACAGGCCTCACAATCATTAACAATGTTTATCTCAGCATAAATATCCCACTATTGCCTACTACGGAATTGACACATACATAGGTTAAAGGTTTAAAATTTGTCTAAATATTTTTGAAAATGTCATTGTGTATAGAAAATATAATTTAAGTAATAGTGGAATGTATCAAGATTCAATGAATTGTATTTGTTGAATAATAACAAAATAAAAATTGTATTTTATATAAGTCATTGGTGGAGAATAATTTGAATTTCAACAATTCATAAAAATGTATGTGGTTTCATGTTTTAAATATTTTAATTACATTATAAAAAATTTATAATAAATCTTGAATAACATTTTTTTGAAGCCTTGTGTTAAATTAAAATTTATTTAAATTTAAGTAACGAAATAATTTACATATTTTATGGATTTTACAAAAATTGAACTTTAAACACTTATAAAAAATGCGAAAAAATTTCAATTACCTACTTAAAGTCAAAATATAATAAATAACCATTAACCAAATAGGTATTTGCTATTCAATTATATTGTTTTTGTTTACAAATTGTTCAACCATTATTAAAATTTACAATATAAAAGATCTAGATAACATACTAAAATGACAAATAAAATTATAGTTATTTATAACTTTATGAATAATGATGACATGATATAAAAAATATTAATTAATCATAAGTTTGTATACTGATCTTGATTTCTATTTAATTTATTAATATACCAAGTTTATCTATAAAAACACCTTAGAAAATGAATAAATAAAATTACTATACAATTAACCTTTTTATTTACCTTACAAATTGTACTTAACAAGTTAAGTAATTTATTTATAAACAAATAAACAAGTTTTAAATTAAATTTATTTTAATCATATAATTTTAACTATAATTTAATATTAATTTCAATTTTTTAGAAATTATTATTACTATAAATGCAAGTTTTAATTTAAAGAACTTAATTGGTTGTAACTAAAATATTTAAATAGTTTATAAATAACACCTTAGTCCATACTTTTCAGTATACCATTACTAGTTGTAGTATGTTTTATTTATTAAAATTGAAAAGTTTGAATATATATTATTATAGGTATAGACAATTAAAGGAGTAGATTTGCTTAAGTTTTTATGTGTATTATTGTACTAGACAACTATAAACAATGGTTAAAAACATTTACATACAACAAAATGACTGTTTTAGTACCAAAATAAAATAATGTATTATTTTAGTTTTATTTTTTTACTATAATTTTGATTATATCTTAATAATTACTTCAAATACTATAAAAGTATCTAATGGTCATGATCAGCGGTTATTAACCTTTTGTAGATCATGGACCCCTGATCAAAGATTATTAGAAATCACAGACCTTTTTACAAATTTTTTTTTTTTCAAATACCTTACTTTTACAATACGTCACATATTGACTTATGTTATGTGTAACCTAACCTAGCCGCGGATCACAACAGGTTAAAAACTGCTGGTCTAGATTCTCTATCAAAGTATCCACCTATATTTAATTCACAGCTAAAATATCCAAATAAGACCACCACAAAATAAAATAAATGTATGGATAACATGATACCAAAAATAAACAAACATATTCTTAATAATAAAGAATATTTTTAATGCTTTTAAATGTTTTTAATTTAACAAAACATGAAAAAAAGACACAACATCCTTGTGTTCATGTTTTCTACTGCGCTGAGCTTAGAAGACATAATACCAGCATATATTATCTCTGATTTAAAAAGGTACAACATAACAAATTATTGGATAAATAGAACCAATTTTATGATTTTAGAGTGAGGATAACATATTGGCTATTATTAAAATGAGAGGAAAGTGTACTATCCATATATTTAAGAAACTTAGTATACTTAAGTATGAGTCAAATATTCGCAACTATGTTGAAAATTGAAAAATAAACTGATGCATAACAATCAAAATGGAGAACATCTAAAAACAAATTGATAGTTTGTAGAGAAAAAATAATATAAAAAGCTTATGTATGTGTTATATAAAATTATAAAAATCAATATTAGGTATATACAATATTATTTGTAATTAACTAATAAATATTTACAAATCAATATTTTTGAATGTTATTTAGAATTAAATTTAAGTGCAATTTATGATTTGTTTTATTGTAAAAAAATTGTTCTCTTAAGACTGTGCTTCTGTTGGATTTTGAATTACAATCATTATGAAATCTTTATCTGAAACAAAAATTTACAAATCATTAAATACTAGTTTATATAATTAAAAACATGAAATTGTTAAAATATTTATATAGTGTATTACAATATTTTTTATCAATGCAAATAATATTATTTTACATGCAAACTAAAATAATTAACTTAAAAAGTTTTATACAGTGTTAAAAATTAATTTTATTAATTCAAAATCATGTTAACAATTTAATAAGTACTTGATTAAAACTATATAATTGTGTGTGTTTTACTGTAAATTGCAATCGACTGGTAGGTTAAGGGCATCAACAGTATTTGAATTCAGGAGAAATATAAAAGCACTGAGTCCCTCTCCTTATGTAAATACTCAGGTAATTATTTTTATAATACATGAGGTGATTTTTACTAGGAATTATTAATAATATAACATTTAGATTTCTGGGTTTGTTAATAAATAATTTTCATTACTTGGAGAGTATTTATAGTAAGTTTCATACAGATCACATGAAAATTCAATGTTTTATTAACAATTCAAAATTGTTAATTTACATTCGAGCAAAATATTTCATATAATATAAGATATTATTACAATAAGAAAATTCCAAAAAGACTTCCAGGCACATGGAAGTAAACTTCCAAGATCAAAAAAAATATGGTGAATCCATTAAAATGGTTTGATTGATCTAAGAAAATTGAGGTAATGGTAAATTTATATGAACATTCAATAAACGTGCTAATATACAATAGCTATAGTTCAAATACCTCATTACTAGGGACTATAACTAATATACCATCTAGACACCTGGGTTTGTTAATAAATGTTCTTCATTACTTGGAGAGTATTTATAGTAAGTTTCATACAGATCACATGAAAATTCAATGTTTTATTAACAATTCAAAATTGTTAATTTACATTCGAGCAAAATATTTCATATAATATAAGATATTATTACAATAAGAAAATTCCAAAAATAATAATGATTGTAATAATTCTTATGTTATTTTATACTTCTATGAATGTTCTATAGTCTATGTTCTATAGTTCTATACAATTTATAAAAACATAAATTTATTACAATCTCTATTATTAAAAATACTTCTCGCGATCCCCCAAAAATTGACTCGCGACCCAGTTTGAGAATTGCTGATATATACCATTAAAACACAAATAGGATGTAGTATTACTGTTTTATCTTTATCATTAAATATTTTAGGATGAATAATTACTTTGTAAAATAATGGTTTTTGTATTTTTAATAAAATATGAAAACCTATATGAAATTATTTATCTAATAGAACAAATTTATTTGATGAAATTTACCTGGTGCCACCATTATCTCGTGTTTTTTAGTACGCATCCTTAAGAACATCAAATCGTTAGACGGGTCCAAATCCCTAACAACACTTCTAGCTTTATCAGCCAACTGCTGTATCAATCCAGCATACTGAACTGAAGTTGAATTATCTAAAGTCGATTTAATAGGAATACCTAAAAAAATTATGATAAATATAAAATGTTTAAAGAAACATATATAATTTAATATACTACTAAATAAATACAAATATAATACTAATAATAGGCATAGAAAAAATTAATGAATACGAACCTTCGTTATTTACTACAATTGTACCGATTACACCACGGTGAGATTGAATGCGTTTTAAAGTATCTTCGACTTCGCTGGCCATTTTTATTTCTGAAACAAACTTATTTAGTTATTGATCAAACTAAAAAAAAAAAACCGGAAAAACTATTAACGCTTTAAACCTAGAGTATTATAAAATTAATTATCTATTAAAATAATAAATAAAAACTGCTTATTTGTTACATACAGAATAGATAATTCCAATGAGTATTTAAGTAGATTAATAAAATATCGTAACGCCAATTTTCTAAATGTATAATGCTACTAATGCTAGCATAATATTATGATAATAGTTTCATTTATAAAAGGAGTTTTTAGGATATTGGTTGAATTGTTAATCAGTCAATAGTCCGACATCACTTTTTAGACGTCTAAATACTGATAATAATTATTATCAATAATATATTGTATCAGCTGTATATTGTTATCTCAGAGTTTTGATACCACATATCTTTTGATAACACGTAATGGTTTGTTTTTTTCCCCTTTCCTTAAGGGGCATTTTAAGATAGATATAAAAAATTCGATTTCAGTATTAAACTACCAACTATACAAGTAGATCATAATGGGTGCATTCGTCATGCACGCTTCAGTTTTATTAACTTTTAGTGATTACTGCTACGCTCAAAATTTAAACTACGCTAAAGACATTAAATTTTCGTTTATGAGTGTTTGCTGTTTAGGCATTAATGCTGGATCCAATAGGTAAACTTCAAGATAAACACCAACATTGATTGTGTGGTCGTTTCAATGTTATCTGTTATATCAAAGCGTTTTTAATTTCTAAAATTTTAAGATAGATAAACTAGCATTTATGGGCAACAAATTGGATATATCATATTTTTCTCCTCAAGGAAAGAACCTGACAAAGACAGCTGTTTCCATGACTAGCTAATAAGATGGAGGTACTTTGCAGACACAATTAAGTTGTCTGAATTAAAAAAGATGTAGTTTAAATCACAATTTAAGTAAGATTTTCATTATGTAATTAAATAAATCATATAATCCTGGTTTTAATAAAATGTTCATTAATTTACTAATGTTTCTTAACCTGTCATTGATGACGCTATGAGCATTTTGCTCACACAGTTGGTATTTTTAGAACTACTGATTTAAATTTCATTCGAATTTGACAATATTAAATAAATGCTTCATTGAGTTATTCACGAAAATAATTACAGAAAAACATTAAATTTAAAAAATAAACTAACAAAGTTATTGAAGTCCAATGTTACCATATAGGTTAGCATTGTGCTCGCATGCCACTGATTGCCTTACTAAATTATCTTGTTATTTTATTATTATCTCATTATATTATTTTATTATTATGCTTTAGCAATTCAATATTGATATTAATACCACGGTATATAAATTTGTAAGCTCACATGTGTGTTTTAATAGGTGAGCATTTCGTTCACATGTGTATTTTATTGGGTGAGCATTTCGCTCACACATCACCAGCAATGTTGTAAGAATAATGTCACCAACGATAGTTTAAATAAATAATTTATGTTAATTTAAATATCTATGAACTATATAGCTAATATACAAATTATTTATCACCTTTATTATAAGTTACAAATAACATAATCAATGTACAGTGAAAAACATATAATATTATAGTTATTATTATTTTGTTAACTTATTAATATCGCTATATTTGTTACTAGAATATTTTGATTTATTGTTTAATACTAATTAATTAAAATTAATTTCAGATGGTGCTTACTTTCCTATTAAATTAAATTATGAAGCTAATGATTGACAGAGGAGTAATTTTTAATCAGACTTATGTCTATGGTAATTTAAATAAATGTTGATAATTTTATTAATATATATATATAATACTGATCATTTTATTTTACTGATATAAGCTAACAGTATATTATTATTTTAAATTTATGTATATTATCATATGGCATAAGTTTGAACAATTTTTATTATCTTATATTTATTAACTTTTTATGTATACATTAACATTTAATAATATGTTATACAGATAATAATTTCAATCAAGATTATAAAAAATATAATTATATTTTAAACATTCTTATAACTTTGATTAAATGATTTTCCAAGTATTCAGTTAATTACTAAAGTAACAATTAATTTTTTTATAATTAAACATTTATGAATTGTTTATTATCACATATAAATTACAAATAACATTATCAATGTACAATCCAAACATGTATAATAATGTTATTATCATTATTACTTTGTTTCCTTAATAATTGTATTAAATTTACTATAAATATAACTAATTTTAATAATTAAAAATATTTCAGATGCTCTCTACCTAGCTACACAATTTAAAAATGGAGCTTGTGATGGCTGATATTCTCAAAATGTACATAAAATATATACATAATTAGTTAAATTAAAATAACCAATCAATTTAATGTGGTCATATTTTTATGTATATTTATGTTTTATTTAATTGATATAAAATATTGTTGGCTATACAATAAAACTTTGTAAATCACAATATAGTGAAACTTTCATATCATAATGAATTAATTTTTAACAAAATATTTTTGATAACTATGACTTTCATTGTTAACTACACAAAGATTTATCTCCTTATAATTAATCTAATACTTTTATATAATGAATAAATTATTTGATGACAAATTTGTTTTTTTGTAATATGTCAAAATTATCAAACGTTAAAAATAAAATGTAAATTCTAGTGAATATGAAGATCCATGTAGAAGAACAATCAAAACTTTTAGAAGAGATTAAATGCTTCCTTTGTAGTAAGAAATTGTTATTTGTTATTGTTAAGACAATCAGTCAACAATATTTTTATAAAATATACTATTTATATACACTTAAAATGATATTATTATTATATTTAATAATTTTAATAATATGTTAAACAATAAGTTATTTAGCGTGTTTAGAGCATAATAGAGTTGATTGGACTGGTAAATTTGTCATCTCAATGTACATTAGTTTAAATATCACAATATGTTTCTCTGACATTTATTCATGGTATTTTTATTTCTCATTTTTTTGTTAATTTGCTTGTTATGTTCATATTTTATTAAATCTTCGAGCAGAATTTATTGATTACTTTATAATTCTCACCAAATCCCTACCCACACATCCAATTCATTATTTAAAAACCTAAACATTATTTAAAATACTAACCCACAGAAAAACACTCGTAAACAATATACCTCACCACAACAAATTTTCCAAACATTTATAATTTTATTACATTTATTTATTTCAATAATAGTCACTGTTTAATGTTTACAAATATCTTGATGGTATGTTTGCATATATTTATAAAATATTAAAAATTATTTTAATTCTTACAAAATTATATTTATAATAAAAGATTAAAATGTTAATACATAAATATAAAAACATTTTGAGATATTTTGTGACATTAATTTATCAGTTAAAATAAAGTTTACTCAACATTAGGTTAAATGTTCTGTTTACTTAGGTAATACGTAACTGGTAACTGCTTAAATCCTTAGTAACTATTGTATCTAGGTTTACATTCCATGCTAGGATTTTCAGAGTTTTATAGGTAACATTCCATGTAGATTTTGCAAGTCTAATAAAACTGAATGCTATCATCAGTTAGAAAAAAATTAATGACAATCTAAGGAATGAAGTTAACTACTCTGATGATATTGCGTTTAATAACATAACCCTCATTGGAATATAATAGCTTTGCATTTGTAATAAAATAAACTTATTTCATGTAACAAAAAATTATGCTGTTGATATTACGCATGATATCTTAGAGCGTATTTGCAAATACGATATTAGTATGATGTTAAAAACTATGATTTATGACTTGAATTATTTTACTATTGACATCCTCAATGATAGAATAGAATCATTTAACTATGGACCTATTAAAATTTATAATAGACCTCCACTTTTATCAAGCCAATCATTACCTACCTAAAACATAGTATAATAAAGATGTCTACTTCTGAAATGTAATGCTTCACAAAAAATTTAGCATTAATTATTAGTTCCCTTTCATTCGAAATATTGGTATTTATATGTTACTTTAAAACATATCATAGATATTATCTTTGGAAAATACCTTCAAGTAGAAGACATTAAACTTTGTAAAGTCTTAATAAAAGAGCACCACGAATAATATATTAAATTATTTAACACCCATCTCAAACCCAAATTTCATCATATGATATATTATCCTTTTATTATAGAACAGTGTGGACCATTGTCATTACTTTGATTGATGCAATTTTAATCAAAATATAAACAGTTAAAAGAAACTTCTAAATCAATTACATCTCGTAAGAATTCTCCTTATACTTTAGCTTTGAAACACCAACTTAGTTTGGCATACAGAGTTTTGTCATCAAATAATAATATTGATATGCAGTTTGGTCATCAAATACCTCTTGGAAACATCAAGACTTGAGTTTTTATGTTCTCCTTTTGAATTTTTAGAAGATGCAATATTTGTTTCATGGAACCGCTTAAAAGAGTAATAATATGTCTGTTCTTATTAGTTTCAGTAATAATCCAAATATATTACCAGAATTTAGCTAATATTATCTATATTTATTCAAACCGATAATATACCATTTTTTATTTGTAAGATTTTTGAAAATAAATATTTTTATGAAAATTTCCAAGCATATAATGTGAAATTAACTAAACTGCATTTTTTTCAAAATTTGCTTACCTCAGCCAGTGTTCAAAGTTTTTTTTTTTTTTTTTATTAATATTTTCAATCAGCTGTATTCAATGTGATACAATAAGTAAATATGTTGTCTTATTTACCTACTATATTATAGGCGTGGTGACATAATAGAAAGAGACATCCATTGACACTAAAGTGTTCAAAGTTAAAAGAAAATAGTAATCATTAATAAGTGTTTACGTTCATATTTTTTTTCACCTATATTTGTACCATACTTTTTAGTAGTCTGCTATTGCATTTGGTGTAAAAATTATTAAAGTATCTATCTACAATTAAGTAAGACAAAATTTCATACATAACAACGAAGTACCTACTAACAAAGTATAACAAAATCTGCACCAACACGGTTAAAGCAGAATAGTGGAAAACTCCATAAAAGTACAATAAGAATTAAGCCAATAAGCCGAATAATGATCTGAATATCTGAGCATATGCATCAATAATCTATCATTCCATCGATTTTAAGTACCTATATCCACTAACTTAGATGTGGACGCATGAGTACATTACATGACAAAATATTATTATTTATTACAATTAAAGTGGTAAGTAGGTCACTATAGATTCTATACAGTACTATAGTAGAAGTGTAGAAGAAGTAGAAGAGGTTCACCCAAAGACCAATTATTATTGTAATCTATTCTGTGTAAAGAGTAAAGATATAAAAATAATAGTTATAATTATGTCATTTATTGTGCATCTTGGACTGAGATAAATATTATATTTTACAGTCCATTTTATGTACATAGATCAATAAGCCTTTATATATATATATATAACAACAGTATTATAATTTATAATAATAACATGTCAATAATTGTGTTGTTGGAATGTGTAACTAAGGTCTGAGTTAATGTCAAACTATTATAACATTACGTTAGCGATATCGTAGAATAATGAATATAAAAATATTAAAAATTAATAATCGTGATATGGAACAATGGAACACGCACACACACTTGTGTTAGAAGTTAGAACTAAAGAATACGGCCAAAATTCCTTTATTAACTATCGCGAGAAAACAATGTGAAGGATGAACATTTTTCCATGAGTTTTTTTACGTACTAAAATAATTTACGATTGGTGAATGATAACTGATAAGATTAATCGGCACTCTCACGGACACACGGTCTATACACATTACACGGTTCTAAGTTCTAACATTCTACAGCGAACAATTGCGACTATTGCGAGTCTAACCACATTATTCTTAAAATCTAGACAAAGTAATTCAACATCGCTGTTTGACGAAATTACAAGATGAATAATTCAAGTGATCTGAAAGCGTGGAGTGACGTGGAAACAGTGGATACCATTTCTCTTTCATCTTTGAGTATAAATTCTTGGTAAATAGTGTTCATGAATAAGCTTTTAATTATAATATTTATACCTCTGCTGTATATTGCTAATTTAGTTATAAAGATTTTATTGTTTTAATATTGAAGTAACATATTTTAAACCTATCAAATTCAGTTTAAAGATTTGAGTATCAATGTAAATGAATCAACATATATTCATGCTCAGATCAAGTCTTTGTCTTGTTATCACATCGAGTGCTTTGATGTTATACAGTACAAAATATCCATTATTCAATTATAACATGTAGGCCGTAGATTTATCCATACTAAATATCTCACTTTGAATTACTAAATACTACTCTCAAAAGGAAGTTAATGCACTGTTTATTTAGTTTCTCTGATCAGTCATTTGATCCGTGCACAACATAGTAAATTTGTGTTTAGCAAAATCAATATTTTATTGTTAGTTATAGCGTTAAAATAAAACAATCTATTATAAAACTGAGTTAAAAATATTATTTGTGTTCTTACTTTAATTTTTTATGATATTTCAATTTTTATGCAAGTTATAAGTATATAAAATGTTAAAACTTAAAAATGCTCATATTATGAGAAAATATTGCTATGAAATTAAAATATCATAAAAATACAATGTAACAAATATTGTTGAATAATGTTCTTTATAAAGCTGTAAAATAGATAAGTTTACTATGATGCTAAATCTAAAAATACATTGTTAGATTCTGCCAAACAAAAATTTACCATATCAAATGTGGGTCAGAGAAAGACAACAGATAGTGCTCTGACATCCTCATAACTATTATGGTTTTTTTTTTTTTTACTTTCATACAAACTTATTTTAAAATAAAATTCTTTTATATAAGTTTTTCTTCAATGATTCTATGGATTCCAACTTTAGGTTCAGCCAAATTTTCAAACAATAACAAAATCTAAATATCTTCATAAAATTATTGAAGCTCTGTTTTACGTCTTAAACTACACTCTGTTCAAAGACATTGTAATGGTTTAAAACAGTGGTTTTCAACCTTATGAATAATGCGACTCACTTCATCTCTTACAAAATGTTTATATTATATGAAGCATGAAGCATATTTTATATATAATATATTTATACATATGTATATTAATTACAGTCTACTTTATTAAAGTGTTAATTATTATAATATAAATTAATACAATGAAATAAAAGTTCGATCAATGAGATATTATATGCTTGATATGTGGTGCAGAAGTATTTCATTCAAGGACAAACTAACTCATAGTTCTTTTTCTACAGATTGAAGTTGTTCTCTTTTTTTAAATTTTTATTGTTGTGATTGCTGAGAAGAATCCTTATTCCCACAGATATAATGTAGAGAATTGTAATAAAATTGTTATTACATTTATAAGTAATTCAGGAAGTTCTACTTGAGTGTATATCGTAGCATATTTCAAGGGCACTTGTATACTGGTCTATAATATAGCTAAAATTTTCTAAAATTATCCATTCCAACTTTCACAGCCATCTCAGTCCTAATACCTTTGACCCATCTACTTGTATTATCTCAAGTAATCTAGAAAAATAACTTAAATATAAATGGTGCACATAAGTCTCATCAACCAGAATGACTTTTAACCATTTACTATAACTTTTGTTTTGAGTAAAAATTTAATTTCAGATTGTAAAATGCATTTATAATTATAATAAAGATAAAAGTTTCATATTAAAGTTAATATAGTTTAGTATTTTAACTAAACATTTTTTTTTTAAAGAAATGAATTAGTGATAACTTATTATTTTTTACATCTTAAATTTTATTTTGTTATAGTGTTAATAATCCTGAACAAGTCAATCAAGTAGAAAATAATAATCCGGTTTATCTTCCGCCTGAATTGATGGAAAAAATTATCTGTTATTTAGACGGCAGGACATTGCTTAAATTCAAAGAGTTGTCAAATACATGTAATGATATTACTAACAATGCACTCCGTTATAATAAAATATGGAGAAGAATTTGCATGGAAGAATTACCTCAGAAATATTTAATTGATCTGGTAACTAAACAAGTTCCCAAGTATATTCCATTAAATTTGATTTCAGAATTTCATTATGAGCATATTTATAAAAATTGGCTTGAATGGCAAACTCCTGTTTTTAAATTATCTAAAATAGGACAACACCATTTCTTGGGTCTTGATGGAGTGGTTAAAATTATTTGTCATAAACATGATGTTATGATTGTATTTTCAAATTTTATGTATTTATTTTCACTTACAAAAGATCAGATGACAGGAAGCTATTTCATTAGAAATAGTGATTCAGAACTATGCAAACATAATTCCATAGTAGTATTAAATCCTAGACCTCAAACAAATGAAGATACTGGAGAAGATAATGTTTTCATCGATTGCGACATAAAATATTCAAATGTATGCCCGTTACATAACACAGTAAGGAAAATACACGATGGAAATAGAAGAGAACATTACACTGGAAAACTTATTGATGTATACATGAACCTTTATACTAATATATGTTGTTGGGTCCGAGAAACTTGGTATGAATGGCATTCACATTCTGAGCCAAAGAATGTTATTAATGGCCATTTATGCCCACATTTGAGTTATCTTTTATATACTTCAATAATTCATGGGCTGATAATTAGTCGGAATCGGACTAATAGCATTTTAATTCATGGTATTTTTAAAGATTCATGCATAATGGTTAATCCATGGTTGAAGACTAAATATTCTGGAGCTACTGCGGTATACATGCATACTAACATTTTGTTTATTGGAACTCTAAATGGTTACTTATTGGCGTATCGTTTGCACTCTATGGATGATTTAATTAATCTTAAAGATAAAAATATGATGTTCGAAATGAAAATGGATATTGGCCAAATAATTATGTTAGACATAATGGATTTTGAAGATGTTAAAGCCATCATAGTTGCATCTACCTTAAGTGTTGTTTGGATTAAAATTGATTAGATTCTAAATTATTTTTAGAGACTGCATGTTTATTACAAAGAGAAATTAAGACTTCAATTCTACTCTTGAAATCAAAATTTTTCAGATTTATGATAACAATTTTATTTTTTTTATACTAAATAACTTTTTATTCATTGCAAATCATTTAAATTAATTAATATGTTATATTTTAGATATATTTGTAGATTCTTAATTTTAAAATTTTTAGTTTATGTCTCTACAAATATTTATAACTATAAATTAACTAAAAACTAATTATCAAATTTTATTTAAATTAAGTTTTTTTGTGGATGGGCAGTTTTTAAGGTATTAATATTTAAGATTTATATAAAAAAAAAATAACTATATTTTATAATGGGATAATTTTTTGGTTTGTATTTAATATTTTGTAAGTTTTTTTAATATTAGTAATTAAAGCGTAATACAATATTATTTCTTCTACAAAAAAAAAAACTGTTTATAATTTTTTTTTTCCAAGTATAAAAATATTTATACTTGGAATAATAATTAAAAGTAATGTATCGTTGTATCAATACATGTAATGTTTATCTTCATATATATTTATAAAACTATACCCGAGTAGCAAATTCAGTTCACATTGTGTACTCAGCTTTCAGTAAAAGATCGTTAAAAGTATAATGCAAATTATCTTCACTACACAGTGCAGAAGGTTGATTTGAATACCAAACTTTTATACAGAGAACACCATGCATCATCCGTGTAAGCGTCAGTATAGACACGGTGCTACTGCAAACATTTTAACTGTGTGTTAATGATGCAGTAGTCGGTTCAATAACAGAACCACAGCAATTTTATCAGACCGTGTATCATTAGTAAAGCAGTATATTTACTAATTGTACCACGGTGTAAAATATTACAGAGCTCCAATTGCTCAACGGTTTGGAACATAACCATGCTTAGGTATATATACTATATACAAAATATAATTTTATTACATCATTATTAAAATTAATATATCGTTAAAAATAAACTAATATATCAATAAAATACCAATTCATATTATGTTTGAGTAATTATTTTATTAGCATATATATATAAAATATTAAAAAAATAATAACTTAAAACTTAAAAAAAAATTTATTATCAATTTTATATCATCATTTTGCATGTCTTAAGTAATTTACTGCTACTTTATGAAATGTTTCATCTGACATCATTTTTATTAAACCAGATAAACCTTCTAGAAAAATAAATAAAAATAATTAATATAATTTTTAAAACAATTAACTATTTTTTTTTTTTCAGAAAAAAAGTTAAATACTATATATGTATTTAAAAACTTTTATTAACAGTTCAATCAATATGAAAAATTTAAACGTAATATTTTTAAAATCAATTGTAAAACAAAACCCTATGTAGTATTTATTTATGGTTTTGATTGAAGCATTAATACTATATTTTATAGGTATATTTGCTTGGATTTTTTTTTTATAAATTCATTCTACTTAAATATTAAGAATTTAAGTTTTTATTTATTATGTATTACATTGTTTAACTTCAGTATAATATTTTTTTTTCTCCGATACCTATAATGGCATAATAAATTGAAAAAACATACATCTATCGTACCACTTATTTCTACACTTACCATATTTAATGTACTGAACGTTTTCTGAAATTTTAAAATCAGATATTAAATATGAGAAGTAGATTTCTTGTCCATATTTTTTTGAAATCGAAGTACAGAAATATTTTTATTTTAGCCAGCTATAAAATTTTCTTCTAATAAAAAATCATCTGAAATTATAGCTGATGCAGTTAAAAAATTAAACATTGTTATTTGTACTTTGTTCAAAGGCACCAACGATTAAATTTTCATTATGATCAGGAAACTCTCCTAAATGAAATACAAAATGCAATATTAATTCAAGATCTATAAATGAGTCAGTAGAGATAATAAGTTTTTGTCTAGGGAAATTAATCAAATTAAATTTTAAAATACTAAATAAATATTTAATGAATAAATAAAGAGCAAATGGTTCCTTTAACATGACTTAATGGCCTATGATTAATTCATTAAATTTTGTTAAACCATTAAATTAATTAATTTTTCATGCAACTTGGCATACATTTATTATTTTAGTTACAGTACTGTGTAACTAATGTAATAGATTTTTTTGTTTTTTTTTTTTAAAAAAAAGAATTGTCATTACATTTTTGTGCTATAACTTAAATATGTTTAAATTAAATTTTAAACTTAGCATTTCAAAATACAAAATTTTATATTAAATGATATTTTTGTTTTGACTAAAGTGAGAAAAAATATTATTATCTAGTGTTATATTATTTATTTTAAATTATGTAATAGTAGACACTACACTTGTGGTTGATGGCATATTTTCTTGAAGAGTTTCATTATTTTCTATATCAGGTTTAGTATATGTTAAGCCATCATATGGATTATCTACATCATTGTATTGGATTTCCAATACTGGTGGTTCTGGAAGTTGAACGGTTGGAGTCAAATTTGTATACACTTTTTCATCTTGTATAATTTTTCTTTTATTTTGTTTTTGGGTTCCACAAATTCAAACTCTTATATTTTTTTGGCAATTATTTTCCCTCTGGAACAACCAGTCAACTGTCCGCTTCATATTATGTCATCACTTGTCTTTTGAACCTGACTAAGCTTTTGCAACTCCTTTTGCTTGTATTTTATCGGCTAAAATTAGTGTTGGTAACTTATTATCAATAAATAAAAATAAATAATAATTACAAATAGCAAAAATAGTCTAAAAGTCCCTGCAACTTTTTGTATATTGTAAAATATTTCATCTCTTATCATTTGGGACATAACTTTCAATAATAATTTTTGTTATTTGTATAAGATTGAAGTGTATTTTTGTATTATCATACTTAGTTAATGGAAACCAGTACCACTATCTCCAAGCAAAGACAACCATTAAAATGGCATTTGTTGAATCTCCTGAGTGACCAAGTATAAAACAACAAACCAAGATCTAGAACCAATATAATTATGAATTTAGTTATAATGATTAATTTGTTTCTATTACATTTACATATATGTATACATTTAAAATATATTAATACATTATATACACATGCATAATAAATTTAAAAAAATAGTAATAACTCATGTTTTGTTATTTAGAATCTAGTATATAATTGACTTACCATTGTTATTAATGAAATTCTAAAAATTAGAATACTATTAAGAATAAATAAATAACTTTACAGAGTAGGAAATGATTTTAGATATTAAATAATAAAATAATAATAACAATTAATGATATAATAATATTAATAATTTATAATATAATAATATTAGTAATAATTAAACAAATCTTGAGGGACATATTGTCTTAACTCGTTTAATTTCACCAGTTCAAAACATTTAAAGTTATTTAGTTACCCCAATTAATAAACAATGCATATAATCAAATGGTATCTCAGAAACTAAATCGAAGTTGAGGATATCTGAATGAATTGTTTTATCCAAATGGAAGTTTAAATCTGAATAAGATATAAGTAATTCATGAGGTCATAAAGTTGAACATAAATTAGAAAAATAAACTTGATTATTTCTATACTAACCAACAGTATAACAATGATTATAAAAATGTTTATCTGTATGTCCTTTTATGTTTAGTGCAAGACTTTGTCGGTGTGCCACATATTGGAACTTCCAGTTGAACTTAAATATTAATGTTATAAACAATGCTAGCCTTATAAAAAAACTTAATTCATTAACTAAATCTGACAAAAATGTGTTACTTTATTGTGACTTAAGTTGCTTCAATTATAAACATCTTGACTTACTTAAATTAAAAAATAACCCAGACAAAGCTATAACTGGCTAGGAAGATTTTTAGATAAAGAGAGAATATCAATAATTCCTACCACCAAAAACAAAATAAATATAAAAGCTAAATTATCATTTACTTTAAACAATTGTTCTATTTCAGCTCCAAGACCAAAATGATGATATATAGACCTCCACTAATTAGTAATTTCTTTCGCCAAAGTTGTGGTAGGTGTTTGGAGTAATGTATGAAAATATTTAGGTAAACTTTTAAATTGAGAAAATAGTGATATACTTTTTAAATCTTATTATGGCCAACAGCCCACTTAGGACCAATTCAAGTCCAACATTACTGCCACTTTCAACAAACTCAGAAGTAGATTAATATTCATGTCAGTAAAATTGTCATTATTATCAGTATTAAGAATTTTAAATTCATTGAAATGAAATAATTCTACAGTTATGCATTTCTACATTAGGATTGGATAAAGTATTTAATGGTAGAGATGGATTGGCAATATTTGACGATGATGTAAATAGAGAAGAAACTTCAGCTGCAGCTCTTTTTCTTCTTTGGTAATACATTCTTTTACTTGAGTGGATATTAGGCCTAAAGTAAATTCAATACAGTGTATAATAATTTAAATAATTTAAACTATATATTACTTGATTACATAAAACACATTAATGATCAATACCTCTACCTATTAATGTAGTAGTTCTTAACCTTTTTTGTATGATAAATTGATAACACTCTAATTTAGATCCATAAAAATGGCGACACACTCAGGCCCAGACTGAAAGGATACTGGCCAATACTAATTCAAGCAGCCCATAGATCCAATATAAAAAAGACTTTTTGCTCATTAATTGTCTAAAATAATTTGTGTCATTGAATATTAGTACTTCACGTGACTTATTTGGACTTACTTGGTGACATACCACGGTATTAATGAGTAGGTATAATAGAACAATATCTACATTTATTAATGTCTTAAAAAATAATGATTAAAAACTAAAAAACTATAGTACCACTTAGTACTCGTATATTATATCAATAGCATAACTTAAGCTAAGACTTAGGTACCTAACTAATATACTACAATATATACATAATTATGTGTACTACATACCAACTATCTAATAAAAGAATTAAATTGTATTCAAGTAAAAACAAAAATATTTACTTTCATTACTTTTTATTTTTTTATTTTTTTTTTTTTTGTTACTAAAGAAAGTAAATTAGAGCAAAAAACGATAGGTAATGTTTTAATCATACAATGTCAAAGATTAAATTATTTAAGAGCTTTTTAATAAACATAAAAACCATGTATACCTAATTATTTTAAACATTCATTTTATTAGATCTTATTCTTATGTACCTACTAGCTATTACCTATATATAGTAGTTCCTTACAATGGTAGGTAGCATACAGCAGTAAAGAATACCTAGTAATGTTAGGTAATAATTTAATTGTTATAAATAAATCAAACAAATATTCAATTTTTCTTTTTGACAGCTATCTCTGTAATAATAATAACCTAAGCTATAGGCTATAATATACTTATATATAAATGTCTATAGTCTGACAGGTATACTGAATACTGATAAGCAGTATTAGGGAGTAACTATTATTTTAAGTTACTATTTCCATTATCCTGTAGCAAAATAACTTTTTTAGTAATTTGATGGTTAATTAATTACATTTATTTCAAGTAATTTAGATTTTTTTCATTGTGAAATTCATAGTTACCTAATTGTTACTTTTTCTCGTTTAACACATTTAAACAAGCACTTGTTTCAGAAACAAACAATGTTAGTTTATATAGTATTATTAACTAATTATTTCCAATTGCAAAATTTAAACTAAGCTAAAACACTACAATTATAATATTATATTTTAAGTACATGATATTATTGTATAAACAAAATTTTGTTTATTGTTTACACATATATACCTACATTTTTATTCACTATTTTATATTTCTTATTTAATTTATTCATTCTTTAAGTAGCTTTACAATAAATATCAAATACTGTTTAATTTATATTTATTAACATAATAAATTATACTGCAAATATATGCTTACATTATTAGATGAAATCACCGACTCTCATTTATTAATACTGCATTATACAAATGCAAGTATTGAAATGAATAAACATTTTTAATGATAACATATCGCATGATTATAGTTTAATACGGTATAGGAGACAGGAGTCATCAATGTAATAATTTTTAAACGTTGAACAACAGGATCACTGTAATAAAATACACATTTGTTTGATAATATAACCGTGCTTCTTTACATCCAAGCACCTAATATAAATCCAAATATAGGTTTAATATAATAAACACATTGTAGTTTTTACTGAACAATATTATCCTGTCACATGTATTTTGAACCTAAACAAATTATTTTTGTCCCCTTGCACTATGTTAGCATGGTTCTTCAACAGTCTACATCACAAATTTGCTACTTAAGTATAAGCAATAATATTATTAAATATTAATATCTTGTGAATTACAATATCTTATGATTGATTTAAACAGTAAGTATTATGCATATGATAACATTAAAAAACTTATAGAACTTATGATAATTTAAAGATGTTATTCCTTTTAAAGATTACTAATATTTAGTCAAATTTATTATAATAAACAAATAAAACTATTAAATAAGGTTTAATGTAGTTATAAACATAATATTGAGGATATATATAGTTTAATTAGAAATAAAACATTTTTTATTGAAATAACAAAAAAAATTATAACTTGTTATTTCTTTTTAAGTATTATACAAATAATATATTTCTAAATGTTAAATTACACTAAATGCTTTTATTGAATTTATATTCATTTTATTTGCTTTGATAAATTTATATTTATTAAAAATAATAATAGATTTTTACTTTTTTTAAATAAAATAAAATAATATGTAAATATAAATAAGGTTGATAATTTTAAATGGAAAGTATTATATTTATAATTTTTCTTTATATATTACTTTTAATTAATTTATAACTCACATTAATTATAGTATAATAATAACATATTATATTGATGACACTATTGTGAATTTGATCAGTTTTTGGAATACAGCATACAGCTAAAATGATTGCATTTTAAATTTGTATATTTGGTAACATAAAGTTTAGTTATACGAAAATAATTGTTATTTGTTAACTTTATATTGTGAATTGAAATACAAATAATACAATATTCTTTCATCTTTGTATTAATTCTGCTGACTGCTATCAAGTAAAATATTTTGTATGTTGTGTTATGGCTTATTATCATTACTTTTAGCTGATTATGCTATCGGTGTTAATTATCTCATTATTTTACTATTTGTTGTATTTTGCGTAGTTTGTATTTGTTCGTACTCTTTGATATACTTTTAACTTTTAAGCCGATCTCATTTACCTTTGTGTCACTCGGCAGCCGGCAATCGGTTTCTCACTTTCTCATTAATTTCTTTGTTTACCATGTCTGTGCCGCGTCATTGCGTCAAAAGACGTTTATGGCGCAGACATCTTGATTTCTGTTTCAAAATTTTTATTGTTCTTAGTCACTATCTTTTAAATGACATTCAGCTGTTCTGTAATAGTGTGAAGATTGTCCGGTTATATGAGTTAAATATATTATAGCCATTATAGGTATTTACCTACTAGTTACTACCCATGTATCTACTTAGAAGTTATACATAACGAAAATGTATATTAGATACCTATAAAATACATGAATTGATCGGAAAGCGAGAAAATACAATCCTTTTTTTTTTAAATAATATTTTATCATAGCAATTCTAATCATATATTTAAAAGACATTAAGTTCTTAAGTTACGCACATTTTTTTTTTACATTTTTGCATTCCTCTTTTAGGTAGAATTTTTCTTCCATTTTAAGCAACGATAATTATTATAGCATCCGTTTAAATGCTTTATTTATTTAATTAATTTATTTTTCATTACACAATAATATTTAAAGATTAGATAATTTATTGCTTTTGCATTTTATCTGTAGGTTTATGTTTTATGATATCAACCATTACCAATATATTGTCTTATGAGCACAATTAAGGACTTTCAACTTCAACAATTCACAACTTATACGGCTATAACTGTTCTGCATTTAACTTATCAATTAGTAGGTATTGATAATAAATACTATATGTGATACACTAATACCTACTTATGCAGTTATGCACATACTAATTCTATATGAGTACTTACCTAGAAAAATATTTTCAAATAAATTATTTTTTATTAATTTTTTATTATGTCCAGCTAAAAGCTAATAAATTAATAGAGCTATAACTGCAAACAGTGCAAACATAGTGTTGAGTTCTGTCCATAGCGATGAATGTATTGGTTTTACAATGATATAATGATATGTGTGTTCTCATTTTGTGTGTCTATCACTGTCTTTTTGAACAATATAATATAAAATTTGATTTTCTACTCATAGTTTAGTTTTTGGTAGTAAATTTGATTTAAGACTAATTCAAAAGTAAAATAGTTACTATATTTTTCCAAATAATTGGAATACAATTTTGTTGTAATTCAAAAATGAAGAACTGTAATAACTTTAATTTTTCATTACATAATTGTGCTAGAATTTGATAGGCGTAATTTAGTTTATTTTTTTAGAAATATTTAAAAGCTTGAATTTTTATGATTTTTTCTTCTTATTTCTAAGTATGATATATTTTGGCTGGGAATTAAATCCTTTAAAATGTATTAGGGACATGATTTCTCATAAGTTGTTCTTTCAAAATTACTTTAAAACAAAAATGTAAAAAATACATATTTGCGATTTTTTTAAACATTTGTTCAAATTTGTATTAAATCTATTTTAATCACAAATGTTAATAAATTATTGTAGTTAAAATCTAACGATTAAAAATTGTATATAAGAATTCTAATAAGTATAAAAGTACTAAAATATAAAAGAAAAACTTTAATGTAAAGTAACAATATTTTTTAAGAGTGATTGTAGTTCAAATAATATGTTGATGACATTGGAAATTTAAACGTATTAATATTTAATACAATTTATTACCAACCAATTATTGTTAAAATTCATAAAATATTGATTGTTAAATTTTGAATCACTCCGCTGTTATAATTTATTTTTTCTATTTTTAATTTAATATCTATAATGTTCAAACTAAAAAAATTTAAATTCTTTTGAAAAATATTGATAATAACATATTATATACTCTACATATTCTTCTGTGTAGGTGAATACTACTCTCAAAGTTGAAAATCGAAACATTTTTCGACTAGGTATTCATCTAGGTATACACAAACAAAAAATTGAAAACGCGTCATTGTAAAATCATTAAAAATCAATACTTGTTTTCTACGACATTAATTTGGGAACTAATAAGAGCAATATGGCGTTCACACAATAAAAAGCAGTGCAGCATCCCGTGTCCTTGTATAAAAGACGGACATCTACTGAACTACCTAGCCTAAAAAGACGTAGGTATACATATGTAATTTACATTAGGTAAGTAAAATTGATGTATTTTAATTTTTAAAGTGATTCATAAATCGGTATTTTTTTTCCCAGTAGAATATTTTATTGAATACTTTAACAATTACAGACGGGAGGCAAATGCCAAATGGTATCATTTTGTACAAATCATCGAAAGACATTTTGTTTATTACGCATTTACGCAATTACGCAGGTTATAGTGCGTGCCGTACAGTGTATGTCGTACGATATATCACAAACGCGTGGATTGTAGCGGTAGGATGGAGGATTGCCTGATTTGCCCGTGGACCTTATCTCATCCAAAATCGCGTGATCATACCTCCACCACTGTTGAATTCCCTACTGTAGTTAATCGTCGTGTCGTATGGTCTATGCTCATTGGTTGTCTGTCTTTGCGTTCCACGCGTGATAACGCCCGGTATTTGTCCATACCTCCCCGTGGTTTGTTCCGTTGTAATTTTGTTTTACAGTGCTTTTACACGAGTTTTTTGTTTATAGTAGTACAGTCAACGAATGATTATATTTTTGTTAAAATTTAACAGTGAATCAAACCGTTTGCACTAAACAAACCACCTGCTTCGCTCCCGATTTTTAAGTTTTTCGTTTGGTCGGCAGGTTTTGTGCGAATCCGTTGTCGTTTACGGACCGGATTACACATGAACAATAAACACGGCGGTGGAATGGCTCCCGTAGACGTAACGCTCAGCGAGAAGCACTCTGCCCGTTTTCAGCTGATCAATTATTCAAAACTCGAATTGGCGATACCTGTATACAAATATAAATGTCTGCGCACTGGTATCACCATTGTTTTTGGTGAAATTGAGGGTCCACTGGTCCAAGGATATTTCACTCTGGGTAACGTATTAGTTATTTTCTTTTTTTTCTCTTTTCTAACGTTGTAACTACCAATGAATGTATAGCGGATTATGTGTGTGGGCTATCTTTTGGAACTCGCGCAACACTTATGCGATTGTCGCAGGCAAGATTGTCGTCATATAATTTTGCATTGTGTTCACTCTCCATTGGCAATTATAATGTTTATCGTTGTTGACTGTTCTATTATGGCAGCAAAAAATTGATGATTATATATAAACATTTTTATAATCACCAAAATCCTGATTAAGCAAATAGTGCTTGTCATGCTAATTAAGTAGCAGTGTAATGTTGTTCTTTCTTCTAATATATTCTCAAACAGTCAACTTTAATATTTAAAAAAAATCAAAATCTTGTTCAGTTTTACATTGAACAAACAATAGAGCCATATAAATTTTAAATGAAACATTTTCGAATCTGTTACAAAAGTATTTGCTAAGATAGTTGAAAAGTATTGTTGGGAGCATTGTTCTGTATTTAGAGTTCAAAGTTATCTTCTATAAGTAAATAACTTGATAAGTAACTATTATAGGGATGGCCAAACTGCGGCTCAGGTCATAGACCCATATGGCTCGCATCTTATTTTAAGATATAAAACATTTTTACAAGAAAAATTTTTTTTTAATTTGAATTTATATATTTAAAGAAGTCAAGATTATACATTGTAAGAGCTGTCCTTAACAATTCCATTAAATGATCATCTAATCAATGTTAAATTGTTCACGTAACCATGTGTATTTATGATATTTTTGAAGACAAAATTAAGATAAAATTAAATTTGACATTGCTGTACCTATACGTTTTACATTCTACATATTTTATTATATTTGATATTTTATCTTATTTACGATAATCATTTATATATAATATATAGTATTAATAGGGCTTTTTTTTTTTTATTTCAGCTCTTCCATATTTATTAATATAGGGCGGTTAGCGAGTCTCATTTTTAATTATTTATTAATGTGAAAAAAAAACAAATGTGTCATTATGTTAAATATACATACAATTTATACTTACGTACAATTTGAATTATTTCTATAATTTATGAACTAATTTCAATTTAATTAATACCTAGATAAAATATTTCCTTTTTAATTAATAATTTTCATGTGTTTTATTTATCATTAGATTAGATATATTTAAATGTATTAATTAAAAAACAATCTAAACTATTTTTAATATTTTTATTCGTAGCTACTGAAGCTCACGATGACGATGGCATTCCACATACACTAGAACACTTAATATTTCTCGGATCTGAAGATTATCCTTTTAAAGGAGTTCTTGATTTATTGGCTAATCGTTGCCTTGCATCTGGCACAAATGCTTGGACAGGTAAAAAAAAAATTTTTTTTTTCTTTTATATTAATAGACTTATCAATTATTATTATACCGAAAATGTTTAGACATTGATCATACTTGCTATACAGTTAGCACAGCCGGTAGCGAAGGTTTTCTGTCACTTCTTCCAGTCTACCTTGACCATATATTATACCCTACAATTAAAGTACGTATATTTTTAATTATATATTATAAAAAATTAATTTAATTCATTCTTTAGGAATGTGGATTTATTACTGAAGTTCACCACATAACTTATGATGCAGAGGATGCTGGTGTTGTGTATTGTGAAATGCAAGGCAGGGAAAATACTGGAGAATGTATTGTACAAAGAAATTTGTTAGAAAATCTATATCCAGGTAAATGTGGTTATAAATCTGAAACTGGAGGTATTATGAAAAACCTAAGGGAATCAACTACAAATAATAAGGTAATTATTGTATTGCAAGGATAGATCTTTTATTTATTATTATATAGTACATACTATAATAGTGTATTATATAACATATTAGTTTTTAAGTAAAAATAGTTTAATTGTTAAATAATACATTTTCCTAATTTATTATAGATTCGTAAATATCATCATGCATTTTATCGCCCTGAAAATTTATTACTTCTTATCAGCGGAAAGATAAATCATTCTTCTGTGTTTGATGTTTTAGAGCCATTCATTCAAAAGATTTTATCAAAAGTAATAGATTGTTACTCATATTTTTTATTTAAATGATACAAAAATATTTTTACATGAACATATGTGTAAAATATAATGTATAATTTATTTATATTACAGGGTAATCGAGGAGATTATGTCAGGCCATGGCAAAGTTCAATAGAACCATTAACTCGATCTTTAAATAATGCTGTACTTTTTCCCTCTGATGAAGAAACCAATGGCATAATAAGTGTTGGCTTTAGAGGCCCGAATTGCTTAAAAGAGTAAATAAATGGTTTATTTAAAATTTAATAAGAATCTATCTGTACTAAAGTTGTGTTTTTTTTCTAGTTATATTGCATGTGATTTATTGTTGAAGTACTTAACGGATACTCCAATAAGTCCTTTACCTAAAGAAATGGTTGAAATTGAAGATCCTTTCTGTACTGATGTAAGAAATATAAAAATTATATATTGGATATTTTGTTCAAAATTTAGTTATCTTTTTTAGTGATATTTCTTGTATATAATCTTTAAATATGAAATTATCTCTAAATCAAAAAGAAAGTTCTGTCTAATAATACTTAAACTATCTTAATAAATTATGTAATTTGAATGTTGTAATAAAATGTAACTTAGTGTTAAATTTGAATGTTATAGTTACAAACAAAATAAGTTTGTACTAAAATCATAAGTATAAGTAATTGCAATCATTTTGATTTTTAATTTAAAAATTAAGATTTAATTAATCAATAAAAGTATTATTGTACTATACATTATTATAATCACAAACTAAATATTTATTATTGGAATTGGCAGATTAAAATTTTTATGATATTTCTGCTGTCTAGAATAATTAAGTATAAGCAAGTGATTATATATATATATATATATTAGTTTTAATATTATATATTTATTTTTATAGGTATCTTTTGATATGGCTTCTCACAATGAACCTTCTATAACAATTAGTTTTGAAAATGTTCCCATTGAAAAAATGGAAGCTGAAATAATACCTTCAAAATTGGATGAAGTATTTAATAAACTTTTAGTTGATGATAATTATCTTGATTTGACAAGATTAAGTACATTTATTGAGAGAAATAAGTTACATATATGGAGCTATTTAGATAATTACCCTCATGAAAAATTATCTACAATAATTATAGAAGATTTTTTGTACGGAAAAACTTCTGCTGATGTGAGTTTAATTTAAGAATTATTGAGAATGTTATTTGTATTAAATTTATTTATTAATTAATTTAACATAAATACACTCTCATACCAATGAATGCTTTTAATAATTTTAGTTGGATCAGAAATTAAATAAAATGAGCATACTAAGACAAATACAAGAGGAAGATATAATGTTTTGGAAAGAAATATTAAAAAAGTATTTGATTAATGGTAATAGAGTAATTATTAGGGGGATACCATCCATAAAAAAGCAAGAGGAGCTTGCTAATGAAGAAAAAGAAAGAGTACAAGAACGACAAAGAACATTAGGTGAAGAGGGTTTAAAAAAAAAGGCAGTTGAATTGTTAAATGCCAAAGTTGAATGTGAGGTAAGAAATGTAGAATATTTAGCAAAGTTGAATATTTATTTTGATCCTTTAAAAATTCTTAATAAGTACTCGTGTTTTAGACAAAACCGCCTAAAGAACTTTTAACATCGCTTAAAATTCCTAATAGTAAATACATACAGTTCTATCCATACGAAACCTTCACAACAAAGTCTGCAAAGCAACATAGTTTATTTAAAATAACTAACTCGCCTATATACATGGAAGCAGATAATATTAGTTGTAAATTTGTCTATGTAAGTATATTTTTATCAATGCTAAAAATAAAACTACACATTAATTAATTTGTAACCATTTGTTGTTTTGCAGATGTACACTTTTATTAACACCAAAGATTTACCCATGAACCTTCGAATGTATTTACCAATTATGGTTGATTTATTAATGAATACTACAGTCATTTGCGATGGTATTAAAATTCATCATACTGATATAATTGCTGAATTAGAAAAGGATATTGTGAATTGGAACTCAGAAATAGGAACATCATCATCATCTCACTTTTTATGTGGAACTTTTTCTTCTGTTATTTCAATATACTTTCAAGTAATTATTTTAAATTTGTTTCTCACAAGAAAAAATAAAATAGTTGTAATTTTTATTCAGTTTTATAGTAAAATTATAATTAATATTACTTTTTTAGGTAGAACCTAAGAAATATGATAAAGCCATCAAGTGGCTGCATAATTTTTTGTTCAATACTGAAATAACAAAAGAAAAGTTTTCAATCACTTTAACAAAAATAATTAACGAAGTTTCAAGTTATCGAAGAGATGGTAATCATATGTTAAAAGACATATTACGTAATGTAATCTACCAAAACAGTAAGTTGATGCATACAATTTATATTTTGTTTTCTATTATCTAGTAGAAGTACTTAACGATACAGATGTGGCTTAAACAATTTTATTTTATTTATATAGATAACAACCACTATGCTTGCAGTACACTGAGACAACATAAATTCTTATCAAATTTACAAAATAAAATAGAATCTGAAGAGGGATGGTCATCTGTTACTGATGATTTGAATAGCGTGAAAATGATTCTTGCCAATCCGGATAATATAAAATTACACTTATCTGCTGATTTACAAATATTGTGCGAATTAAAGCATAACGCATCTTCACTGTTAGAAAAACTACTTCCACCAAATGTTGAACATTCGAAAAAATTGTGAGTAATTATTGAGTAAATAAGCATAACTATAAGCTTATATAATTTAATGAAAATGGTATTTACCTATATTTTAGATTTGAAACTGTTTTTGACCATGAATATATTTTGCCCAATGATGAATGTAAAATACGAGCTTGTGCTGTTGGTATGGGTGCGATTGAGTCAAGTTATTTCATACAAGTAACAGATTGTATTAAAGATTTTAGTCATCCAGATATTCCAGCTTTATTAGTATTTTTGCAATATTTTACTCAATTAGAAGTATGTTGTTTATCATATTATAAAACATTAAAAATTAAAATATTTCTTTCAAATACTTGTTATTTCATAAAGATTTTTTTCACTTTTTAGGGACCTATGTGGAAAAATATTCGTGGACTTGGTCATGCATATTCATACAGCATTACTCCAAGACCCAATGAAGGATTACTGTTGCTACATTTTTATCGTTCAGTAAATGTACCTGCTGCATACAGAGAAACTAAAAATATAATGGTATGTTTAAACTATAGACTAGTTTTTGAAAAATTCAATTCAAATTAGAATCTAAATATATATATTCACACATAATTTTTATCATTAATAATATGTATACATGATATAAGTTCTTTTTTTTTTTTGATAATAATAATAAAAATTTGACTATAATAATATTACTCAAACAAGATAATTTATAACAAAGATTTTATTGATGTATTTACATTGTTATAATTAAAGTTAATATATTGATTAAATAAGTTATTTTTTCCATTATAGGAGTCTCATTTAATCAATGGTGCAGTATGGGACATGACACTTTTTGAATCTGCAAAATGTTCTGTTATCTTTGAAATAGCAGAAAGAGAAAAGTCAATTGGTGACTTAATTACTCAATCTGTATTGTTTCATTTTACAAATTTGCCGCCTAATTATAATCGGTAAATAAAATAATTGCATGATATTAAATTTTTAAACTATTTTTGCTTATAATATTTACAAATATTTAGAAATCTTATTCAGAAAATATCTGAAGTAACACTTGAGGAACTTCCACTAATTGGTAATAAGTATGTGATGCCATTATTTAATCCATCATATACAAGAACAGCAATGGTCTGCCCACCATCTAAATTAGATGATGTTGCTAATGAATTCAAAAAGTAAGTTCAATGCATTCTAAAATTTAACTTTTATCTTCATTCAAGAATGTTTAAATTATTTTAGTTACAATTGAAATGAACCATTTATTAATATAATTTTTTTTTCATTTTGATAATCGTTATATAAATATAATAAATAAGTTATGTTAATCAAATGTTATTATAATGGTCAAGTTGCTTGTTTGTAAATTGATGTTAGTTATAAGTGCATTCATTTTACGCACCTACTGAAGAATATAATTTTACCTTCATTACATTTAAAAGAATGCTTTATTGGCGTAGATTGTTTCTGTCTAACGCAAGCAAGTACAACTCAGGTTGTAGTCCAAATTGAACAACCAAATTTTCATACTAAAAAAAGAATATTTTAAATTGTGTAACATTTTTAATTTTTTGATAACAATAATATGAAAAAAGTTCATATTGTTTCAAAGTCCATTATTTTTGTATTTTTTAAATTTAAGTAACTTATTTTGTAGTTCCGATATATTAAAAAAAAAAATGGTTACTTATTTTGGATTACAACTTAAGTGGTTCTTGTCCTTGTAAAACAGTTTTTACTGTGTTGTACGTTTGTTAGAGGGGACAACGCATGTGAGTGAAACATCCTTTTAAGTAAGAACAATTTCAAATATTTTTAACAATTTTCAATTAATTTATTCTTTAATGATATAAATTCTATTTATTGGTCAAAAGTACTTATATTATGTTATGACCAATTATAATTTAGGTATTTAGACTCTTATAAGTTATGAAGCCTAAACCAGTAGAATTAAATAAATATATATTTTTAATTTTGTTTCAGAATGGATATTGACATGACTATCTACAGGTCATTAGAAGACAGTATTCTCAATGATGTTGCTTAAACTTTGAAATTATTATTATTATTTTTTTTTTCCAATTTCATATTATTTTTTTTTCCAATTTCATATTATTTTTCAGTATAGCTATTATATTTTTAAACAAATCATGAGCCTTCTTTTTTGTATTTATGCCACTATATTTTTATAAGTTTTTCAAGTTTATATTATAAATTATATCACATTTATCTTTTTAACAATTTGCTTATTAATTAAATTCAAAATCAATCTATCAAAGAATTTTATTATTTTATTTAAAGTTACTACTTAAATTTAATGTTACTTATTATAAATAATTTAAAATTCTGTGTTTAATCTATTAATTAATAATTAATTGATCCATCAGTAACAGTAGCAACAATATTCAAACCAATAACAGATATAAAAAAAAATATATATATATATTAATATTCTTAAAATATTAACTATAGTCGAATCAATAAATTAATTAAAGTATTATAGACAAAATACATGCAAAATATCAAATATTTACAACTAATAAAAACGTAAACAATCTTACTATTAGAAGAAAACTGTAATTTATTAATTCAAAATATACAATATTATTATTTTACCTTTTTATTTGAAAAATTATACCATACATTTTTATCCTACTCTGCAACTTATATTATTAAATTAAAATAAATATGCAACTAGATAAACATTCACTTTTTAATTATAACCTATATTAAGCAGGTATTCACTATTCATAGATTTCTTTTTTTTTTTTAGTACAATAACTATTTGTTAGAGAAATAATTGGATTGAATTTAGTTATTTTAAGTACTTAGATGTAATTTTGACAGTTGCGATTAAGTATAGTTAACTTGTCTCAAAAATGGAAAATATTTTGATAATACTTAACTGCAAAATTTATTTAATTTATCATATTATTTACTTAATACATGATTCAAATAAAAAATAAAAAAATCTGAAACTCTTTATTATAGGCATAATAGGTGTTGGCTGTTAATTCTATTTTGTCATTGAGTTAGTTACTATAAAAGTATATGAAAAATGGATGTGTTAAATTTGAATTTAATGGTAAATCTAGAGATGTTTGCCGTGTGTTAATCTATTCACATGCCAAGTATATTTTATTATATATTTATGTAGCTAGGTATTAGTAATTAATTTTACTATTACAGATACTGATATAGATTGAATTATTTTTTTTCCGAAAATATCGTATTTATTGTACTGTTAATTATTATTATAAACTATAGATATATTATATTATTGTTAGTTAATTCCTAATTATTATAATAAATAATGAATAGAATCATTGGCAATAATTCAAAATGAATTTAAATATTAATAAATATCATTAAATTTAATGAAATATAATAATAAAATTTTCAAGTTTCCATGAATGATATGTTTTAAATTACAACTAAACTAAAATTATTATTTTCAATTTTATAAAAAATTTTAACTTCCATTATAAAAAAAGTTGTATTGATGTATTCTTCAGGGCTAATGTATTAAAATTGAAAATGTTGAACTTCAAAATAAATTGTAAAGTTTTGTGATTTTGACAATTTTTTTTAACATTTTATCTTTAAACTCTTACAAAAATAGTTTTATGTATTCATTTCTAACATTTTTAAATTTGTCGACTTAATTAATACAAATATAACCATTAATTTTATTTAATTACATAGTTAACAGTACTTGTATAACTTTACGCATTTATGGCATTGAAACTTATTAAAAATATTAATTTAAATATTGAAAATTTTATAGATTTGAGAAATAACATAGGACCTTCTATGTTATTCAAAATATAAGATAATTTTGATATGGATGAGATTTTTTGATTAAAAAGGTGAATAATTTATATTACATGTCTGATTCTGAATAAATAATATCAAAGTGCATTATTAATATTATTATAATTTTTTTAAAACAAATTAATTACTTATACATTTTATTTATTTATAAATATAGATGAGTAAGTTAACTTTTTTTATTTACTATCTGTACTAAGAATAGTATACATCAAATAATATTACATATATATCAAAACAAATAATTTAACTATCATTTATTGATTGGTAATTAATTAAAAACTACTTGAATTGATGTATCCATAACAATTAGTTATCTTGTTTTAACCAAAAACAAAAAAAAAAGACTGATAAATTAAATAAATCCATTTTTAAATTGTTTAATTACCTTACCTATCAAATGTTGTTAAGTACATTTTTATTTTTTTTATAACTGATTTTATAATTTTGTTTGATGCAGAAAAACTATAAATTAATAAATAAAATTTATTTATTTTAATTATTTACTTTTTTCATTTTAATATATTATACACATAATGTAATAAGAGAAATCAAAAAGATGTTTTCATTATTATTTTTTTAGAAATTAAGTCCAAGATAAACTTTTTATTATTTTTTTTTTTCATATTGTATTTATATTTTTTTCATTAATATTTTCATTAAATTATTCATAGTGAATACAAGTGATCATTTCAAAATAACATAGATTTTTCCTAAATTTTATTTTATTTGATTATTTAAAAATTAACAATATTATTTTGTTTAATACTTATCATTTTTCTGTAAAAGTGTTAGCTTTTATATTTTAAAATTATCACTTATTTATATTTTGTATATTTTTTTTTTAGATATTTAAAAAATATATTTTTAAAATATTTGCAGCATCATAAAAGTATAATTATTTTCATGGTTTTATGATCCTAATGTTTTGAAAATATTTTATCAATATTGTATGTACATTTTTATCAAAATATTATTAACAATATATTTTATTAATATTGTATGTGAAATATTTTCAAAATAATATCATTAATATATATTTGGTAAATATTGTGTGTAAATTTTTATCAAAATATTATTAATAATATATTTTATTAATATTATATGTGAAATATTCCCAAAATAATATCATCAATATATTCGGTAAATATTGTTAGATATATTCATAAATTATTGTTGAACAAATAATAAATATATTGTAATAACAATTTAAAACTTTGACAACCATGAATGAATATTTTGAAAATATTTAAATAATTTATAAAACATTTTAATAATATTTCAAAAATATAATATTGCTATGTGGGTTGTGCCAAGGAACTTTTTAAAACAATGAACAATTATTACTTTATACTTTATAATCTAGTATTTACTTGTTTACTCTTGTACATAATTTAGATAACAAAATCATTTATTTATATAAATTAGATTCAAAAACTTATACTTTCTACCAATTATATTATACAAGTATAATAAATACATTTTTTTTCATTTTGTAAAAAAAAATACGGTAAGCTATAATTTCTGCCTTTAAAACTGGAGGATAAGGTTATAAACTTTGTATTTGTCAAAATAATATTGTATTCTGATCAAATTTCAGCTGCAAAAAAATAGGTTCTTTGTTATTTTAGATACCAACGATAACAGGAAGTTGCAATAAGTAATATTTTTTGATTGCTATTATAATAATACTATAATAAAATGCTATAATAAATAATAATTATAATATTCAATAAATTTTTAATTTTATAGAATTTATTAACATTTTTAAACTATGTTTTGGTGTACGATTGATATAATCATCAGTTAATGTTTAAAATATTAAAAAATCAGAAATATTTCGTACCCATTCACAAATTAATCTCAGTGAATGTTAATAAATTTACTTGTAATTGCGAAATTAACTATACACTATATCTTCAAAATTTCATACCATAATATATAGGCATTAATAAACTATTTAACTGCTAACATATTAGACTTTTTTAACTGCTAAGACTGTAAGTTTCGATATTTCGTTTTGATAACGGATAAATGTAGCGATTTCTGATATCTTCCGACGATTTCTTTGGATTTCTTCGCTGCAAAATTATTTTAAATTTCAACTAAAAATCATTATGTTTAATAATATATACAATAAATAATTCAACACAGGTATTTAAATTATATGCATATTTATAGTTAACTTGTCTAAAACATGTACAAGTTTTTTAATTAGAGTCTTAGGAACTTCGAACAAACTCGTATTAAATATGTAGGTATATTTATAAATTACAATTATACTTAACAAACAAATTAAAAACACAATTTAACGAATTAAAGCATTCAAATAATACTTATACGTTTATAGTTTTACGAGGTACTTGTTTTAATTGAAATATAATGAATAGTTAGGTAGGTATAATTGTTATTAATAATAATCAACCATCGAATAAAATGGAACAATTATGTTGTACTACCATGTATTCACAAATCGAACTTTTATTTAATAATTTAAATTTTATTAATTATCACACAATTTTTTGTCATCTGTTGATATTTTTTAGTTTTGACATTTTACCTGTTCAATTTTTCAAATATGTCGTCTAGCCATTTGGAAGCACTTTCTGTTATGTATAGTTCAGCGCGTTCTACTTGCGAAGCTTGCGATTCCATACATTGAGAAATATCGTTTGTAAACTGTGACACTTTACTAATTCTATTATTTATCTGAAATAGTTAAAAAAAAAAAAAAACAAAATTAAGGATAGTAATACCTGGCAAAGCACAAATTAGTGCATTTGAATAATAGTATTACTAGTAAGTAGTAGGAAGTCAGTATAAATTTGTATAGATGTTCATAACATAATATTAAATATATATATTAGGTACTTAAGAATTTTAAAAAATCGATTAAAATGTATAAACATAAACTTAACCTACTTTTATAATAAAACAATATTGTTTGTGTTCTCATGCTTATTAATTATTGTATAAATTTACATGCGTTATATTGTTTTAAACACAGAATTACAATAATAGGGAATAAGTACCTATATATAAGGTACCATAGACAAGTATATAAAAAATAATAAAAGGTATAATGTTGCGCAAAGATAATAATTAATTTATTATCGTTATCGCCGCGATTGATGTTATAACTTATAAAATATGATCAATAATTATATGTCAACTTATAAATTCGCAGTTTCTATAATACCTATATTGATTTGCATCATTTTTTGCACCCATGGACATTTAATGTAACATAATCTTTATGTTATATATAAAAAAAAATCAAACTTATCATTCATTAAATTTAAAAATTAACTGACGATAACATCTTTAAAGTGTGCACCTATGTAATTGGTGTATCATATGCATGTATTTTATACGAAGAATATCATTATAATAGTGCAGATTACTGATTAGAATAATTTTATTTATATAATTAAATAACTTTATTGATTGACTTTATTTATTGATGACGATAAAAATGTTGAATTAATAATAAATCAAGACTGTTAACAATGTTTCTAAGACTTATTTACGATAATCACCGCTAGTTGTTAATCAACTGGCGGAAATAGGAAATAGGTAGGTACCTAAACTAATTTTAGTTGATGAATATTTATTGTTATAAAATGATTATTTTGTCTTGTATTCGTGTATATAATTGGAAAGAAAATTGGATCATACCACTTTTATTAGTCATATAGTTTTTTTTGTAATATATACTATGCACATCGCACATTTAATTTTGAATTATTTTGTTGATGGGGTTTTATTCTTTGCGTCAATTTAAAAATAATAATTATACGTACGTCATCGCTTTGCACAGAAGATACAGCATACTCTAAAATAAATTGCAAGAATATGTTTTGCTGTCTTTGCAAAGTACAAAATCGTTTTTTAACCAACTGTTTGAATTCGACAATCTGTTTTTCGAGTACGTTCCGTAATTCACCAATCATTTTCTAAATAAATCGATATAATAATTAGAGACGGGCTGTTACAAATTTTAACTGATACACTGGTAATAATTAATAATTATGTTAATTTTAAACAATTAACAAATTTATTAATGCTAAGCAATAATAATTAATAGCATATAAAAATATTCAAAAACTCAAACAAAAAAATATCAATAAAATTTAAATTTAAATAAATACAAAGAATAAATATCTATCTTGTCTTTCTGTGCGTCGAATTTGATACCGATAGTCAATAGACTTTTAAGAAACATAATTGACAAATTATGTAAATAATTTACAAATCGAAAGAAACTTTTTAATAATTTAAACTTGTTTTATTCATATTTTGGTACGTTCCTAGCTATGTTGTTACTCTTTAAGTAATAAATGACTATTAAATAAATAATTCATCTATATGTGATTTTTTTGGTTTAAAAAAAAAAAGTGAAAATTTAGGGATGGAAAATTATTCCTTCTGGTTGTATGCGACAAATCACTTTCTCTACCACTGCACTTTTATTGTCTAATACTCATTAATCTATAGTACTATTTATTATTAGTAACCATTATTTTTCTGGATAATTTGTCTTCGTGGCTCATCAGCGCGAGCCACGTCGCTTGCGTCCTCTCGTCAAAACGTCTGCACGCGATATCATCGTTCGTTTTTGAATTCCCACCGTCGTCGCTGCCTGCTGGAAAATCGCATTTCACACGTTTTTTGTACTCTGCGAACTCCGAAACGCACCTGTAAAACAAGATAGTCACGTAGAGCCTAACGATCGTTAGTGCGTTGATACGATTGCCAGCACAATGGTCAACAATTATTATTTGTCATACGTAATGGTCTTTGTAAATAATAATAATAATAAACAAAAGTGAACACGACGCATATTGCGCAGAGACTTCGCACACGAGAATTATTAAAGCACAACTTATTCTTAGTTCGATTTACCGCGATGAGTGCGGTAACATGCGCCATTAGTTTGCAGTTGATCTAAGTGATCTAACATTGAGTTAATAAATGTTTTTCAAATTAATGTTTTTATCACGATATTTTGAATAATTTACCAATTTTTAATAATTTTCTCCTAGTATACTACCTAGCTAGCACACCGGGACTGCCATAAGTGATAGAAAGGGTTGGATTACTTGGATTAATGATGCAAAAAGAATGATTGTAAAGTTAGAATATTTGGATGATTAAATGACAAATAATAGTATATTTACTGAAAAAACTAAACAATTAAATATGTTTCAATTGACGATGATTAAAAATAATCAAATTTGTGTTGTCAGAGCTTAAAAATATTAATAGAGTACATTTGTTTATTATCAAACTTGAAACTAAGAATATTATCTGTATTAGTATGTTGGATTATTTACGATAGATACCTAAGAATCTTTTTTATTTTTCCACGTTATATGAGTATATTTAAATTGTAATACGTGTATTGTACGTACAAACTTGCCTACAGTTTTAAATATCGTAAAAAAGTCAAAATAAAAATACAGATAATGTTTTTAACATTAAATTTGTTAATAATTTAAATATATAATTATATATAAGATATAACTAAGTTATATTAATATATATAAGCTAGATTTCTCTTGGCTTATTATGTATAATATACTATATAAACTTTAAACAAAATAAATATATTTCTTTTCCAGTTAAGTTGAGTTATGACGCGAGTACCTACACGACATATCGCGGTTAATCATCATATTGTAGTCTATATATTAATATATTCAATAATATAAAAATGATATAATTACCGACTCTGCGTAGTATACATTATATATTTATATTTTATTCCAGCTTTAAAAACGTATAGTTAAATTTTTTTTTTTGTATCGCATTGTGGTAGGCGTTTACTTATATTTGCCGACTTTCTACTTTCGTCCACGCCGCTGTTGATCAACTGCTGCAGCTCCCTGTGAAATTCGTTGACCAGTTGAGAACGGATCCCGCGGCTTGTCTCCGCAGCTTCCGTTATTTCATTTACCACTCGTCTAAAGTCGTCTGCGTATCTACACAGTCGATGGGCGAGGAAAGAGCAAAAAAAAAAAAAAAAAACGAGAACAAATGAAAAAACCAATAAATCACCTTTCATCAATCGAAATAATATACTAGGATTGTTTAGTTAGGTAGAGTACTTGGGTTAAATAATTTAATTAAGCTAAATACTTTAATACAACGGTTTTGATAAAACTTCAATGAAGGATATACCTATAGCAAAATTAGTGCCATACTGCCATGGTCTATGGAAAAATAATATGCTAAAACTTTTTTTTCGTTCTTTTTCCAAAGACAATAAGGCGTACTCACGTTTAATTCTTGTTATATTTTAAAAATTTTATAAAGTTTATTCGAATATACTTAACTATTTGTTAATAAATTGTCATAAATTATTATTTTTTAATATTTACTTAATTTACTTAATAAAAGGAATCGACTAAGTTCCAAATAGGATAGGCAATTACTCCCTCAAAACCACCACTGATGTAGTGATGTTTAGTCTACTTAAATTTAAGTACAGTAATAAGGTCTTACGTTCTGTAAACGTTATGAATCCCGTAACGACCGTTTTCCTTCAAAACTTGTTCTACAGTTGTGTTGTGAAATACGCTCATATTGAAATCGACGTCTTCGCCTTCCGGGATCCTATCTAAAAACGCGTCCTTTCTGTCTACCATCCGTTCTAGTCGCAGTTGTTCGTCCACTGACATTCGTTTCCATTTTCTGTCGTTTTTTTCGAGCATAGTAATCAGTTGACTGAAAATAAAAACTATACAATGTTTGATTCGTTCCAGTTTTTAAAGTTATGCTGTTCACACATGTTACATATTATATGCACCAGTAATAATATACAGTTAATACGAGTATACACAATAGGTGAACATTTGATACAATTTTTTTTTTCTGAGGGACTAGCACTATCCAAAGCAAATTGGCCTACGCTGTGATAAATGGTAAAAATTTACATCATGTATTCATGAACAAATTGTAATTGGGAAACAGGGCTAACATTTCCCACGATATCCACCTATTGTTTACCTAGTTGTGGTTTACCCTACAATAATTTTAAAAAACCTGTGGACGTCTAGAGTTTTTTTTCTTTCTTCAACTGTAATAGTTTTATTATTGTATACCAGTAACGATTGTACAATCGAAAGTATGAATGTTCGTTCCGAGTCAATCGGTTCTATTTGGCACGGGTTACCTTCTACTACAAGCGATATGAGGTTTGTAAATTTTTTTAGGTATAAAGTCTGAAAATTCAATTTAAAAAAAAATCATAAATGTTTTTATTATTAGTACGTATTTTTAATTTATCATGGTTAAAAAAACCTGAAAATCTCTTTAGTATATTACAAACTTACAAATTTATAATCAGTTATTTTGCAATATCCTATGTCTAGCATTTCTAAGCAATCGCGTTGTGTATCCAAATTTTGAATTTTTGTCAATGGATTGTGATTTAAAATCAAACGCTGCAACTTAACTAATCCCTTAAAAATAATATGTAATCAGTTTTATTAATTTATTAACAATATTTAATACAGACATTTTTTATAATAATCAGAGTTGGGAAAAAGGAATAGATACTTATGTATTTTAAATAATTTATTTGAAAAAGTATGTTTTATATTTTTTTTATATATTATCTGGAATTGTAATTTTTATTATTATATTTTCAATATTTTTTATTTTTCATTTAAACATGTGATTATTTATTTTAATGAAATATTATATTTATTAGGTAGTACCTATAATCTATATTACCTATATTTTATTCAACAAATTATATTCATACTCGTTATTACATTAGGTATATAACTACTATTTTGTAAAAGCTCCTTAGTTACATGATGTTTAAATATGGATCATTATAAATTATAGTTTATCATAATAATTGATAATATATAGTAAACTTTGGTACTTGATTAACACACCAATTTATATTTGATTAATAATAAGTTGATATCCTTAGTAATTTACAAATTAAAAGTTTTACATTCGTAATATTACTATGTATTGTAATTCTTACTTCATTCCTATTTTAAATTATGATGTTTGATATGTTTACATTATTGTATGAGTTATGCTTTATTGCCAATAGCTAAAATCGAATAATGTTTTATAAACTTGTATTTTATTTTGTATTTTATATATTTAATTTAAAATACGTTTAAAAAAAAAAAAAATAATTATTTTGCTTGCTCTTTTAAATTAATTTTGTTTTTTAATATTTTAATTATAATATGAAGATTATGTATAACAGTATAACCATTTGATCTAATCCTAGTAATATATATTTTTAATAATAAATTACACTGTTAAGTTTCAATTTTATTATTTACATTATACGCAGTATAATACATTTGTCTGAAAACATAGGCAAGTATCTACAATAGTATTATAATTAGTTAAGTACCAGTAGATATGAGAATATATAGGTATTTGTTATTTAAGTTTAAGTTATTTATATATTGATAATAATCAAATTACCTGTAGATTTTCGATTTGTTTGATATGATTATGAGACAGGTCCAATTCAATAAGATTAGTAAAGGAATCGAGATTGCAAATTTTTTCAATACGATTGACTGGTAATTTTAACGATGTAAGATTGGATGATGATATCAAACAAAAATTGGCCATATGCAGTATATCTATACACAATATATGATTACATCAGTAATTTCAAACATATTTTAATAAAATTACAGACAGTTAATATTAAAATGTTATATCATAAATTATATTATTGTACCTTATACGTATCATATAGGTAATTAAATTATTCATATATTAGAGCCAGATTATATCAATATCTTATTCATAAATATAGGTATTATATATTAATAATAACTTAATTCAGATTTTTTAGACATTTTGTTTTTTTCTATTTGGTAATTCAATATGGAATATTAGCTATCGTAACTACCTATAGGATTATTACACGAAATTTTTATTTTGTTTTTTTATTTTTGAATTGCTTTTTTGGAGTTTTATTAACACTTTGTGTTAGTAGTGTAATATTTACATATTTCAAATACCTATTTAAAAGATTAATATTTATTTTTTCTACTATAATATGTTAGCAAAAACATGTAAGTTGGTTTTATCGCTATTTATACATAATGTTCTAAAATATAAAATTGATGTACCTACGTCGTATGACTAATTAGTTATATTCAGTCGTTTTGAGTCAACTGTTTTGTCGCATCATAAGTGTATTTTATTTGCAAGAAAATGCCTAGTCAAAATATTATGATCTGCGCGTTAGCGTGATTTAGTTAAAGATTTGAAGAAGATATTTTTACTTGTTATTATTTAGTATTGTTTGATTTTATTTTTAAATTTTGTATCTTATATACTTTTTGATGGGCCCACGGGTGGTAAAGCATATAGGTAGATAATACAAAATTGAAATTTCTGATGTACGGTGGTACAAAAATACGTAGATAATTTATAACTTGATCATTAGTTTAAGGTGGATAGTAGTGCATCGATATCCTTTACGAATTGTGTAACATAAAAAAAAAAAATAATAATAATAATTTCATCTTCATCAATCAGCCAAATTAATAATTATTATCATATTGTTACATGTAAATTATGAATTATTCAATTATGATTATATAATATAATCATACTATGTTCTATGCGTAACATGGGTTTGCATATTATAATTATTATAATAGTCACTCTATATAATAATTTTATTATTTAATCATATTTTTTCTTTCTAACGTTTCACGAATAAGACTAAATAATAATTTTTTTTTTTTAAGTATTTAGTTTAAATGTATTAATATAATACTCATGAATATTTACTAACTATAAAATAACAAACACTATTTTAGAAGTTTACTAAAATTGTAAATATGAATACGGTGTTCACAGACATATAATTGCAGTAATCTAAAATAGTCAATAAAATACATTAGAGGAAAAATAATCATACAATTTTTCATTTTAGATATAGACGCGATATTATAATATTATTATCTCACTTGAACAACTGAGATCAAGACATCCCAAGTGTTCGAATGTCTGCGTAGCATCCAAATCATTATGATAACCGTCATCTCGGCCAGATCGTATGACGGCAGTGTTGATTACCGTGAATTCCATATCGAATTTAAAAACTTTGAACTTATATCAGAATAATCTCAAATGCGCGACAGCAATGACGATATAAACTTTATTCTTAAAATATATATTTTGCAGGCTTGCAAAGTGTTTTAAACTATATACTATTGTAAGAAACCTATATTTATATCATTTTATAATATTATTGTTATTATATTAATGATAATGGTTTTTTTATTGTTACAGTGGCTTTAATAAAAACATAAATAATAATAATAACAACAATAGTAATAATGATTACGAATAGTTGTTGTGTTGCACAAGTCCGCACCGAGTAACCATGGCGATATCGTGGGCAATGGGTATTGGGTTAGATAGCTAGGTAGTTAGCTAGCCGACGAGTAAGCGCGCGTGCGAGAGCGGCTTTATCAATGTCGACGAGTCGGGCAGGTCGTTGTCGCGGTCGGTTAAGCACGTCGAATTCGGTCGAGTTACGTCGACGAAGGCGACAGGTCAGAAACGAAGCATTTTAGCGAAAAGTCGTTTCCGCTACCCTTTTACAGCACACGCAAAATTTCCAGTCATGAACATCTGGCGAAAGCTGACGAGAATGTTGGGTTTTGTAAGGCGGACGCCACGTCGGCGAAAAGCACGCGTGCTATTCATCGGACTGAACAATGCTGGCAAGAGCACACTGCTGAACCGCCTGAAACCGGACCGCGAACAACTGTCCAGGAAACTGATCTCGCCTACCGTCGGCTTCACTACCGATACGTTCGTATGTGAGTGCTCCTGTGATCGTTATAATATGTTAAGAATTTTAAAATACGGTACTGATTAGTATGTTTAAAAATTCCAAAAATCAATTTGAATAATTGCATTATTGAAAAAGAAAAAAGGGTTGACCGTGGTTAATATAGATCATCCTATATGTTATCATAATAATTACGTTTTAATAATATAATATATACAATTGTTTTTGGCAGAAATAATTCAATCTTTCATAATAACATTGATTTCAGAATAAACTAATAATAAAAAAAAAAAAAATACAATATATTCTAAAAACAATGATATTAATAATAGTAAAGTAGAGTACTATAATACTTAGCAATATATATGTATCATTATTATGAAATAAACTCAGCAGTATCACTAATGTAGACTGACAAATCGTCTTTGCTCATAATCATTCTTCGTATACATTGATTTATTATTGAATTCAAATTTAACTCATAGATATACTGTGACTTTCTATATGAATATGTATAATGTACTATGTACTAGTAAATAGTAGGTAAATATTACATAGTATTCCTCTTTTTAGATTCTAAGTGGAACTGAGATGTATCAATCATGTATTGATTTAATAACGGTGGTTTATATGTGTGTGTGTGTGTGTATCAGCAGCTCCTAAAATTGTGTGTAGGTTCTAGATAGTAAGTACAACACACTTTGTGTACAACGAAAAGCGAAGTGTGCAATACGAAATTTAAAAGTGAGCTTTTGGTAAAATATTACAGTACTTTTTTTAAAACCATTGATTTATTTGTATAAATAAGTTAAAATCTTGTAATATAATATATAATAAAATATGTTAATAATATATTAGAGCAAATTAAATCAATGTTTTTCTTTTTTTTGAGTAAATTAATATATTAATTAATAAGAGTTTAATTTTGTTCACAGTTATAAAATAATATAACTATGCATATTGGAATTTAATTTATATTAGGCGTTTTTGCAGGTTAAAGAATTTTACAAGCATTGGTGCTAATTTTTAGAGCATTGATTTTTTTTTCTAGACTTGACTAATTTGGGACTATGTATGTAGTACGAAAGTTTGGATATTTTGAAGGGCTGTATATCAATGTACTATCGATTAATCGTGGATGGATTATCCACGATCGACTGTGTAATAAATAATATACATAAATACACAATCAAATGCAGTTAACGTACAACCCGCGTTATCAGATTATTGATTATCGCAACCCAATTATTAGACCGATTTACGGAGCCTTAATGATTTGCATAAATATGTATTATGTAGAAAAGCATTATTTTTTTATAATATATACGTTAATTTCATCTAATCGTTACTTAGGTCTGGCACACAAACAGTACCGCTACGTTATCGTAATTTCGATTTTTTTTACCCAAGATAGGCGATACAAACCTCTGAAACAAAATGTTGTTGAAAAAATTTCAATCGCAAATTAAAAAGAAGTGTTTTAAAACAAAAAAACAAAAACTTATTTGTTGTTACAGATTTTTTTTTTTATCAAAAAATAAATATATAGTATAAATAATAAATATTATATGTCATATATTATAGCTATGAATTTTTAAACAAAATTAATGAGTTCTAAGTTCTAACTTAATTTTTCTTAAATAATACATATATAGCATTACAAGATTTAATTATAATTTTTTAATAGTACTATCTATTAGACTATTAGACTAATAGACTATCTATTGAATTTTCGTATTTTCGTTTCAATTTGAATTTAGCGGATTAGGTCACCCTATTACGCGATAATCGAGAGTACACTGTAGTAAGTAATGGATAAAATACTTCAATATTTTACTTCAAGGGTAGTTTCTAATAACAAATTTGATTTAGCTTGTAGTTTAGAAAGATCAGAATTAAAATTTCATATATATATTTCTTATATAAATATAAGTTAAGGAAAAACAGGAATTTTTACGTAAATCAAATTTTCATAAAAATTAATTTTTTTTTTGTTTAATTCAAAAAATAATAATCGTATTTACTTGAAATTTTAGTTTAATGTTTATGTAATAATTTTATAAATATGATGAAATATTTAAAATATTTTGACTTATGGGTCATTTATAAATTTTAAATTTTTTATTTTTTTTTTTTAGCGTTATTTCTGTAATGTTAATACAATTTTTTGGTTCTAAATAAGTAAAAGAAATTGTATACTATATAATATATATATATATATATATATATAAATAAGTTGTGCTTATAAATGTTAAAATGTGTAAAATTATTCAAAATATATATTTACATAAATTATTTTTATAAGCATTTGAAGTCAAAATTTTTACAACATTTTTTAAAATTACTAAAATTGCTATTCTTTTTGCATTTGATAATGTATACAATGTTAAACTTTTATAACTAAGACTAGAAAATTTAATACAAAGCTTCTCATACATAAATCATACCAAAACCAAACAAATCTAAAAAATATATAAATATTTTTTTTTTTTTTTTTAATAGACATTTTAAGTTCAAATTTTGATGAAAATGTATATTTGAACTATTTACAACGATATTCATTATTTTGTTATAGTTCAAGAACATTATTTGCGAGGACAAAGAACTATTATGTATATAATTATATTATAAACACACAGCATTTTTAAATTTAATGTTTTTGACAAAAATTAATTCAACCTACAGTATTACGATGAATAATAAAATAAACTATTTTAAATAATAATAAAAAAAATATATATCATAAAATATGCCAAGTGATATTATAGGCTAACAGACTGTCTATGCTCTGAATCGTTTTTCGTAAACAATGATATATCATAGAATACAAATTTAATACATCTATCACAAAGATCCATTTGACATTTATTGTATACAGAAAAATAGTACCCATTTATCCACTTTTTTTTTTATTTATCAAGTATATATTAGAATTTATTGTTTATGATATTGATAGATTAGATTTTATCAGCATTTAAAATTATCTTATGTAGTTGTAAATTGTAATGTCATTTGATTGAAATTGTTTACACCAGTAAATTTATCATAAACGTATTTAATTTTTATTATTTTACTCTGTATTCGTCTAACCTAAAATAGATTTTTATAAATTTATTGAAAAAATATAAAATGTTGTATTATAAAATTATAATCAAAAATAAATTAATGTGAAATAATATTTACATAAAAGGTTTTATAATAAAGGAAAATAGGGGCATCAAATATCATAGCTTACAGGTATTCATGATAATCGCATATTGAACTGGAATTATTAATTAATATAATACGGGTGGAATATTAATTTATTAATACTAGATCTGTGTTTTATTAATTATTATTATCATTATTAACTTATCGTGTTGTTAAACACGACGTTATTGTGTGAAACAAGTATAAGGCCGTATCCGTATTTATACAAATAAATTAAATTAAATTCATGGCACCATTGGCACTCATTTTCCACTTATATAATTTTTTTTAATATTTTAGTACAAATGCGGGCGTTAATGAAAATAATTAACTCAATTTAAGTTAAGTTAAAAGAATACAAGATTGATAAGTTAGAAGTTAACCGTTAAAAAATCATAAATTTAACTAAATAAATTAAAATTTAATATGGGAAAAAATATTAACTTACCTCAGTTTAAAAAAGTTAATTTTTTTTTTATTTTGTAAGTATGTTAATTACATGAAGAGTGACTGCATCTTTTTAATTTACTAAATTATATAAAAAAAAAAAAATTGCTGAACTTTTATCATAATATTCATTGAAAAGTGTAAATACTCTTTTACTTTTTATGATATATTATTTATTAATTTAAAGTATACACATCTCAAATTAATAATTGAATAAATATTAATTTTTTTTATATAATATAGCTATTGAAGGTCATATAACCTTAAAAACAAAAATATTTATAATTTATAATTTTCTAATATCAACTGCAAAAAGCTAAGTTATTTCAACTATTAATTAAACTACTTCAGTTTATAAGTTGGTTAGAAAATAATCTAACTAGTTAAGTTAAAAAGCTTAAAAATTAACTTTTTAACTAGTTAATGCCAATCTTTATTAAAATACATTGGTAGCCTAAGTTATTTTTCATCGGAGGCTATAAAATCAATTCATTTATATTCTGAGCAGAGCAATGAATATTTAATGTATTGATTTTACAATGATGTGGTTTTTTTTTTGTATTTGTATATACATTAAATAATTGAAAAAATAGTTCAATTCTCAACTTTAATGGTTGTTTTGGATAGAAAAGACAAAAAGTGGTAAGTAAGTCCACAAATATTTTTTTTAAATATTAAGTTATTATTAGTTACATATTGGATATTCACACATATGATAACAATTTTATTTGTCATCAAAATATTGAAATTTTTATTATTCGTTGAAATATTCTAATTTCACTTTAATTTTAATTTTATAAGCTCAACGAAAATTATAATTTATACAGACATAACATACTATATTTCTTTATACATTTGTATCACATACCACAATACTTCTTATGTGTAATATAGAATACTGTAATGTAGGTGCTGAGGTGCTAATTAAAACAAATCATTAACTAGGTACAGTATTTAAATACTAAAGAAATTTAAAAATATAAAATTTTAATTTATGAACATGTGAATGGTTTCATACTCGATATATTTAGTTAAAAAATCTTAATCAAATCTATTAATAGATTTGTTTACTCTTTCAAAACATTGACTTGGTAAATTATCTTTTCAAGTTTCGCATCGCATCAAATAATAAATTTGAAATTTGTGGGTACTTGTAGGTGCAGAGTAAACTAAGAATAATAAGAAAATTGTTTTTCAAATAATATAATAAATAATAATAAATGTTTTTATGATAGTTTGAATACCTACACAATGATAATTGCCATAAGTCATAATTATTCAATCTGTGTATATTAAATTCAAAACACATTAATTTTTAAATTTTGTTCTTGGAGTAGCAGACTTTAGAAAAGTCTGCTCAAACCTTATAATTAAGCAATAATTGCACATTTACATGAAGAAAAAATATAAGATAAATAAAATATTTAGGTATATGAACCTGTAGCCTCATACTTAATAATATTTTTCGAACTGTTAAAATACTTGTAATTTGCTACAGTACGTAGTGTATGTTTTAATTAAATATGATAAAAAAAAAAAAAAAAAAAATACTTAGTTTGCATTTTAAGATAATTAAAGTTATTAACTATATCTTCAGCAGAAAATAAATCATATTGGTACCCGATTATGTCTGCGTTGAAAATAGATAAAAAAAAAATAGTATTTAAATTAGGTATAAATTTTCTTACAGTACTGGGTTTAAAAATTGTATATGCAGGCCTGGTTAGACGACTAGTATTTTAGGATTTACTAAAAAATACTTATTTTCTAACACTTTTAAGCTTTAAAAACAAAATCGACTTCTAATAATATAATAATGATGTACCTACTCGTTTTATGTGATTTGTTTTTTTGTTTTTTGTTAAATCATTTTATACTTACCTACCGTCTAACCGGTTTTATATTTTCGTGTACAATCATAACCAGTTAATTATAAATATACTTACTATAATGGTCCAATAAGTCAATAATTATAATTTGAAAACGTTTGAAATCATTTTTGTACGTATCTAAATATAGGTCGTCTGGCTTATCCGTTTATCGTTTGTTTCGTGTACCGTTTTCAGACAACAACGTCAAATTCACCGCCAGCGACATGTCCGGCCGCGACGGGTACCGTAGCATGTGGGAGTCGATGTACGCGCACTGCGACGCCATCGTGTTCGTGGTGGACAGCACGGACCAGATGCGGTTCGCCGTGGTCAAGGACGAGCTGGACATGATGCTCCGCCACCCGGACGTGGCCGACCGGCCGGACCTGCCCATACTGTTCGTGGCCAACAAGACGGCCGCGCCGGACGCGTGCGGTGCGTCCGCCCTGGCCGGCGCGCTCAGGCTGCACGAGCACGTGGAACAGGACCGCCCGTGGCGGCTGGCCAGTACAGACGCGGTGGCCGCGCCGGGACAACCGGCTGACGACGGGCTGGGCGACGCCATGGAGTGGCTGGCGGAATTGGTCAAGTACGCCCGGCGGCGATAACGTGTCCGGTCCGCCGCCAAATTCGTTTGTCATTTTCACAACGACCGAACAAAATCTTACGGTTTATCTGTGTAATTTTTTTTTTTTTTTGGCCGTCATCATTTCACCGTGATGTGTATAAGTATTTCGTTACTATTATTATTATTATTGTCATCCGCCCTGTACACAAATTCGAAAACGATATTTGTCCGATTTTCACATTTTAGTAATAGGTATACCTATTGCTAAGCAACTACAGCACACGAAAAGCACGGAAGGCTTTGCTCTTTTTATATTCAAATAAACGGGCTCATAGATGTTATTTCTTTTTTTAACCTGTTCCTATGTGACTACGTAACCTATTTAAAGTTTGAAACGTGTAGTTTAATCACGAGATGATCCTTTTATCGCGTAACACACGATTGTCACACATTACGTCTGATTATTGTTCTATTCACGTTCATATTGACAATATTTTTTTCATATCATTTTAATTCGTTAAAAAATGACGTTTTTGGAAAATAATTATATTATCTACTGTTTTTTAAAGGCTATTGGTGTATTTAGATTTACAAGATAAAATTTTTGATTTCATATTCCAAAGCAGAATATTATTCGAAATATTTTGATCTATCAAAATCAGACGTTGGACAATTAGTTATAAGTAAGTACTTAATGTTAGTTATAAACTTATAAAGGTTATAATACTCATAAGCTGATCATCTAAAATTTTATTTTTATGTAGGTATCGAAATACTAAATACTCTTGTTTTGATTAAGGACATGTCATTAATAAAAGTACAAATATTAAAAAATGATTATAAAAAATAGTAAATAGGTTTGGTTACCTAACCCATATCATTTTTTTAAGAATTTTTTTTTTAACGACTTGAAGAAATGTAAAAAAATATTTTCAAAAACGTTAATAGTTTTTTTTAAATAATTAGTTCCTTACGTTAAATAGACCAATCGCTAAACATAATGACATATTATTAATTATTCTATAATCATAATAGTCTAAAACAATAAAACTAGTAAGTATAATTAATAAATTATTATCATAATTTGCAGTTAATAAAAAAAACATTAAAGATTAAAGCTTCTCAAGTACAAAAATATTATTCATGTTTTCACTTAATAAGATTAAAAAAAACCCACAAAATGTTTTTTTTTTGTTATTAATTAAAATAATATTAATAATAAATTTAAGTATTTAATGTCACACATAAGTCATTCTACTCTAATTTTGTACCAGCTATAGTTTTCTACCCACAACGATATTATCATATTATATTTCATACGATGTGGTGTTTAATAAATAGTAGGTACCTGGTACATATTACATATACAGTGACCACGGTGATATATACAGGATTTTTAAATTTTGGTCTATGAAGAGAGGAGACGCTCAATAAACACTGCAAATAAAAATTAGGTGCCACAACTAATTTTAACTATAAATTATAATATAGTACCATTGGCGTGATTAAAAAATTCGTGTTCCCTGCAAAAATTGTTTTGGTTCTAAATTTAAAAAATATATATTTTATAAATATTATTAAAACGTCTTATTTATTTAATAAATGTGCAAGTTAATTTATTAGGCATCATAAATATAAATTTGATTTGATTAAGTTGAAAAGTTTTTCTCTAATACCTTTATTTTAACAAAGATCTATAATAGAACATCAAAATTAATTTTTGATACTTTCTAATGTTAAATATTTAAAATTAATAATGACAGTAATCCATTTAGTCTTTTTTGTGGTATAAACTTTTTGAGATATGATTTTATAGTACCTAGTTTATATTGAAAACAATCACTCTAACGCTTCTGAATTCTGAAGTACCTAGTGAAGTAACAAAAAGAGTTATTAATAATTTGCCTAAGCTCAGTTTTTAAAATATTTTAAGATTACTTTTAGAAAGTATGTACCTATATATTTTATTTTACCTACATAACCAGTAAATATCATTTCATTTATAAGTAAATTTATAATATAACATTAAACAATTATTTTATTATGACTTATAATTAATTAATCAATAGCAGGCATTAGGTACCAATTACCTACTCTTAATATTTTTATAGGTCATGAATTATGATGAATTTAAAATAGTTTCTATATCAATAGGAATTTAAAAAAATTGATATGGATGTAGAACAGCATAAAGAATAAGTATAAGTTATAACAGAATTCAACAGTTGCTGGTTGTATTAAATTGATTAATTCGATTAATATTGAATTCTAAAGAACAATACTACGTAATGCATATAATTTATTGTATTAAAATAATAATAATACACTTTAATATATTTTGTTTTGTAAAAAAAATAATTTCTAAACAAACGTATTTTTTTTTATTTTTTGAAAACAAGTACTTGATCTTTTAAATTGTTATAGCATTCTCCTAGATTACTTTAGCTTAAACCATACATTACATGAATGGTTGCACGACTGTCTTAATTTTCTTCCTAATCTATCAAAAAAAATTATGAATTTAGAAAGGTAAAATTAAAAATTTTATTGATATTATATTAATCACATAACAGCAGTAGCAGTAAAATGCAGTTGAACAGTGAATATAATATACTTCGATGCCTTGATTTCTATTAGTTAGGTACTTTCAATTCCTTCTGTGAAATCATCATAAAAAAAATAGGTTAAGGTAAACCTTTGTTTTAAATAATTATCAGTAATATTTTTGAAAGGTACTTAATATTTATGTAAGGAAATAGAACCTTTAGAAAAAAAACAACAGTGTCAATCAATTGTTACGTCAACACTATATTTTCATATTTTTTTAAGTATCATGCAGAGCTCAATTTTGATTTATGTTTTAATACATTCATATATTATCATTGTACCTAACTAAGATCGTGATTTTTCATTTAATATCAATTTTATCAAAATTTTAATTATAATTGTCAATACATAAAATAATAATTGTTTCAATACTTTTTAACTGTTTTAATATAAAAACCACCATAACATATTTTATTTTATTTTATTATTTATAAACGGTAAGTACAGTACCCTTTATAACATTAAACAAGAACACAATTCTGATACTGCGATTACAACAAGATTATAACTAGTCAATAACAGTACTTAATATGTTACATAAATATTATCTTTAAAAACATGGCGTGACATAAAAAAGTAATCAATCTGATTAGCAATACTATAAGCCAAAGTAAATACTCTGGAAAGGAATGATGCGAAACTATAGTTAATGGTACAAGATGAGACGACAAATAAATTCTGTGACCTTGTACCATGATTATTGATTTCTAAAGTTGAAACCAACCAGAGAAAGAAACTTGGAGGAATCAATGTTGCGAATAAGAACATCAAATTTGCAACTCTTCTTCTAATTTCGCATATAGACACTCCCAGATGGGTAGACTGTAAATGATAGGTACGATTCTTAGTCAATGGCTACATTCAGGGGCGGACTGGCCTGGCGGGACACCGGGACAAATCCCGGTGGCCTGTTACAATAATGGATTAAATGGCCTGAGAATATTTTAGGAGTTAAAAATATACAGTATACGAAAAAACATAAAAATATAATTAATATAATGCATAAATAGGTATTACTTTATCAGCTCGTGTGATTTTAAGTATTATATTATAATACTATATTATAGTACTATAATATTATTATTAAGTGATCCAGTGTATTCTCGATAAGCTATTATTAGCTCTATAAGCTATATTTCGTTTAAACAATTTACACGATGTGTCTGTAGTTTGTACCCATGTACGAAATATATATACAGATATAAATATAAAATATAAGCCAAACAGCTAGTTTAGTGATTTATTTATAAATTATAAGTTATTATATTATTATATTTATACTTGTCAATTTTCATAACTAATAATAACGCCGCCATCATACGGCACACAAGACACTGATACTCGCACTTATCGCAGTCCGCAGTAGCAATAACATTGCTGTAATGTAATGTAAATAGGTTTCGTATTTTATTTTATTTTGTTTGCGTTAAATCGTTAAATGCGACTATAATACTATACAATATTATAGTTACTGTATTGTTTTTACTTATACTATAATATTATAAATACATTGTACATTAGCGTCTTCCACAAAGGTGTTTTGAATTTGTTAAATATTTAAAATGAATTCGGAGGATAAAAAACGTGCTGGCGGTGCTGCTAGAGAACGTGAAAAAAATAAAAACTTCTTTTAGACTCGAGCAAGAATTGTAAAAAAATTAATTCATTTTTTAATTCAGCATATTATGAAAAACAAAATCCCGTTAAAACTGAAGAACTAAGCTCAGGTATGCATATATGTATTATTTAGTAAATTTAAATAATTTAATAATGTTTATTGATTTCTTTTTCCTATTTATGATTTTTATATGATTGTCTTTGAAAATATTGATAGGTATTTCCATCCATGAAAATATTGAAAACATATCAATGTCCGAAAATGATGACGTAATTGTTTCTAATTCTGGTAAGTAGCTATTACCATAGTCATCATACGAGTGAAACATTTTAATGACAAAAAATAAATACTAACAAATTAATGTGTAAGCAGTAAGCTAAATTAGTATGTAATATTAACCCGTCGTAGCGGCGTGATATGGTGGGAAGAGAATTAAAGTAATTAATAACTAATATGTATTATGAATTATTATTTATTATTTTTGTATTTATAAAAATATTATTTTGATATATTTGGCTAGGTATTTTAACAATTTTTTATTTAATAACGATATAATATATGAACTTGATATGATTGTATGAAATTTGTACTTTTTTTTAGAAGTTCTATGTTTGACATCTGAAAGTCCTCTAGTAGTATTTAATAAGTTCATAAAGCCAAGTTCAACTGTTTTATCTCATTTTTTCAAGTATCACCCTTGTCAACCAAAAGATCCTAGCCTCCCATTCAATTCAAATAAGATTTTTCTTCGAGAAAATGGAACAAATCGTATATGGCTAACATTTGATGAATCATCAAAACAACTATTTTGTTCAGTTTGTTTAGCTTTTGCTTCTGAATCGAATTCATTTACTAAGGGGGTATCTGATTGGAAACATGTTAATCAACGAATCAAGGAGCATGAAAGTAGCATAGTTCATTCACGCTCTTCCGAATCTTATTTCTTAAAAACTCAAAACAAAGATATAGATTCACTGTTATTTTCAAATTTACAAAATATAAAAAAACAAAATATAAAAAAAAATCGACAAATTTTTGAAAGAATTATCGCTGTTATAAAGTTAATTGGAAAACGAGGTCTAAGCTATAGAGGTAAAAGAAATGAAGCAGCATACTCTTTGAACGATCATAATTTAGACCATGGAAATTTTTTGGAAATAATGATATTGCTCAGTAAATATGATCCTATCATTTGCGATCACTTCAATACTATCATCAATAAAAGTGAAAAGAAACAAAAACAAAATAAGAAAGGCCGTGGAAGCTTTTTAACTTTTTTATCCAAAAATACGGTCCAAGTCGTTATAAATGAAATAGCATCAAATATTAAACGTACAATTGCTACCGAAGTCCAAAATGCTTCATTCTTTTCTGTTCTTATTGATACTACCCAAGATGTTTCAGTAATGGATCAATGTTCAATAGTTATTAGATACGTTTTTCATGATACAATTAATGAAAAATTAATAGCTGTTAAGTGTGTTCATAATTCAAGTGGTAAAGGTATGGCTCAACTGCTAAAAGAAGAATTGATTTCTGTTGGTTTGGATTTAACGAAATGTATAGGAAATTCTACTGATGGAGCGTCCAATATGCGAGGAGTTTATAATGGTTTTACTTCACATTTAAGTAAATTATCACCTGAACAAGTTCATGTTTGGTGTCATAGTCACGTTTTAAATCTTGTTATTTGCGATGCAACAAAAAATCCTGTCCAAGTAGCATCATTTTTTACTTTATTAAATAGTTGTGCAGTATTTTTCAAAGAATCATATTTGAGGATGGATATTTGGAATGAAGTTAGCAAAGCAAATTCAGATAACAGTCGAAATAAGCGTCTTCAAACCATTGGGGAAACTAGATGGTCATCAAAACAGACTGCTGTTGAGAGAATTTTTGGAACATTTGGAGATCCAAAAAGTTCTATGTATGTAGACTTGATAATTGCTTTCACTAAAGTTGTTCAAGAGGAAAAATTTAAACCTGATATAAGATCAAAAGCAAAACATTATTTAGATTTACTATTAAAATATGAGACTATTTTGACGGCACACATATTTATGAATGTTTTTAGTATAACGGGCCCACTATCTAGATATCTACAAACCAGTGGATTAGACCTTCTGAAATGTCAACAAATGGTAAAATCTGCTCTGAGTCAAATAGTTAAGTACCAAAGAGATATGGAAAATATAATAGCTAAAAGTGATAAATTTGTCGAATGGGTAAATAATCAACTAGAATTGCAAGATTTGGATAATGAAATTTATCTTCAAGAACAATTCGAAATCAAACGATTAAGGAAAAAAAAACGAATGACTGATGAATTATTAAACGATGACCCAATTAATGACGCAAAACAAAAATATACTGTTGAAGTTCATAATCAGGTAATGGATAGAATAGTTGAAAGTATGAATTCAAGATTTGTGAACAATAGTCCATTATACATGGATTTATCGCTTCTATCCCCAGTCAACTTCGATAGTTTTAAACATGGTTTACCAAAAACAGCCTTGAAAGTTTTCTCTAAAAATTTAATCCGATATACAGTCAATGATAATTTGGAAGAATTTCATCAAAAATTAAGAGAAGAATTAGTAAGTTTTGGTAATAATTGGGATAATTTAAAAAAATCAGTTGAAGACGAATATGATTTTGAAAATTTCGATTCTGAAGATGAATACCAAGAAATTGAAGAAACTTCCAGATTAAATATGACCTGTAAAACATGCAAAAATTGTGCTTGTTGCTGCTTGAAGTTATTAGTCAAATACAATTTGTATAGTAATGCGTATACAAATTTATCTTTGGCTTATAATTATCTTTTAACACTACCGGTAACACAAGTAGCATGTGAAAGGTCATTTTCAACACTCAAATTCATAAAAAATCGATTACGAAATACTCTAACTAATGAGAATTTGGAAGCCTTTATGTTGATGTCCGTGGAAAAGCGAACATTAGCTTCTATAGATGACGATATTTTAATAGACAGAATCGGGGAAACTAGTGAAGTTATGAGAAAAAACCTAATTATGTAAAAAAAGAATAACTTTAAGAATTAATTTTAATATATAGGTATTATATTAAAATGTGTACACTGTATCAATAAAAAAGTATCGTATATATTATGTGTAATTGTTTATATCTACATAAAATGTTGAAAATATTTTTTAAATACATTTTTTATCGTTATTATTTTTTTTATATACTTATGACCAAATTGTTGGTCTTCTATTAATTTTTGGCCTGGCAAAAAAAAATTCCCGGCCTGAAATATTAACCCAGTCCGCCCCTGGCTACATTTAATTTACTATAAATTAATTTTAGAAATTTATATTGAACATTTTCTACCTGATTAATATAGAGAGCATAATTTGATGACCAAACCATTGAGCCAAATTCTAAGTAAGACCTAACAAGTGAGAAGTATGACATTTTTATTGAGCTTATGTTTTTAAAATGTTTAGTGTTTCTGTAAATGAAACCTAACATTTAAAAAGCTTTATTTGTTACCAAATTTATGCGTGAGGAGTAAGATATATTGCCTTCAAGTAAAATTCCTAAATTATGTTGCCGAGTGAAAATAATGATCTTAAATTTATTGATATTTAATGATAAGCGGTTTTGTTTACTCCAAATTACAAGCTTGTCCATATTAGTCTGTAAATTAACTGCGTCAGGGAGAGATTTTATTGTGAAAATACTGTATTCAAGTCTATTAGGTATCTAGCTATTAAATTGAATATTTACTCTTATTCTAATGTATATCATATTCTAAGAATAATTGTATTTATGAATTTTCTAAATTATTTTTAAATAGCTGTAAGTATAAATATAACTTATCAGGTCTATTGAATTACATTTTCAAGTTTTTTGACCTAGAAAATCATTTTTTATCAATTGTTAAATAGAGGATAAATATTTATAAATAGCTAAATTTTTATATTTACAAGAAGCAAAATATATTTTTTTTAATTATTCTATGTCTAGAAAATACTAATTAACTATTTTTATTGACTATTACCTATTTTATAATTACTTATTAAGCATAATCTACTTTTATTTTATTTTATTGTACTTAATATTCCACATCAACCTCTTTTACTATATTTAATGTGTTAAATATATTAAATACAAGGAATATTGCTGTCGGGAGAAATAAACTATAATTAAAACTCTTGTTTAGATTGGTCAATAATTATATAAACTGTTCAGAATTGTTGAAATTTAAATTTATATCCCTCAAGCCAAACTAGGTCCACTTACACTCTTTATATATAAATAAACAGAACTGTATTATGAATTAATTACACTAATATCCATTAAATAGAACCACATGATCAGCTAATCATAATTAAATTTATTTATTAAATTTTAACTCTAGTAAGACATTTTATAATTTATATTTATTATAATATTGAACTTTTTACATGAATTATATTTTTATACCAATTAATTGTATTGTTATCATGACTCTGTTATTCTATTTGTCTTTTCTATTAAATAATCTTTATTAATACATAATATGTATATATATATATATATATATATTATATACATTTATAAATTACTTGTAATAGGCTTTAGTCGATTTGAATTAATAAAAGAAAAAAAAGTATAGAAAGTATAACATGTAATTTTAGGTATTTATAGTACTGTAATTATGTATTTCCTTTATAAGTCAGGCTTTTTAATGTAAATTGCAAACATTTCTATTTTTAATAATTTTATTATACATAATAAAATAAGATCATACTTTTAACTTTTGGTAAATACATTAAATACTTATCTACAAATAATTAGTATAATTTTAAATATTTCAATTCAGATTTGACAAAGAATGTTGCATATTAATTTTTTTTTAGCTAGTAATTTATTAAGATATAGCTTAGCACTTTCACACATAAATATATATATAAATATACATTCTATATACTTTTATTTATTGCATACTAGAATAAATTGTCTCTATTTGAGATGTTGACCTTTGTTGGTGTAAGACTATACACCATAGAATATTAGATAAGTTTGTATGTTTATCTTATTATTTAGTTTATTGTGATCTGTGAAGACAATTATTATTTAATTAAGCTATAGTGTTACTTAGTTTATTAATACATAATATTATAGTCATAAAAAATTAAGAGTGTCATTTTAAAAATATAATTGTTCACCAAGTGAATCTGGTCATCTGGATGATCTGCTGTTATAATCTTTAATTTATATTTCTAATGTTCTCTGGCTCTTTGCTAACAGTCTCAAAAACAATAATGTTAATTAGTGGAATAAGTTAAGTTAGTAAAGCATAGCTGTTATTTATAAAATGTAAATATTAAATTCCATTGTCAGATTTCCTGAATTGAAACACATATCAAATTATAAATATTTTCCACAAAACAGCATCAATATATTTGATTAAATCATTGCGACTTGTGCTTCAAAAATGGTAAAGTAAATATCTTGATACTTAAAAAATTTACCCTTTATTAGACTTCAAAATAAATGGCTAAGTCATTTTTAAATAGTTTTTTAAAAACAAAAACATATTTTTAAAAGATACACACTAAACTACACAGTTGTTATGTAGTTTTGAGACCTGTATAAAGTATGATAAACATTTTTGGACTAGTAAAAAATATAATTCTTTGTTTAAACATAATTATAGAAGACATTTGTTTGGTTAAACTATATTTATTTTTTTTTATCGTAGATATGCTTTTTGAGCTTAGTACAATGTTATTATTTTCTGACCAATACACCAATAATATTTCTTTCAGCAACAAGTCTGGTATAATAATCTTAGTTATCAATAGCAATAATTCTTTTATCTTTATAATTGTTCTTCCTTTAAAACATAAAAAAAAATACAACAGACAAATTAAAGTGTAATTTACATTATATGTACAATAATTAAAAAATGATACATACTTGAATTTTTTTTCAAGTTTTTTAAACTCTTCTTTCATACTAATTTTTAAATTTGGATCCAAATACACTAATGATGCCTCATAAACTACTTTTACTGAATAACGAGAACCATATGTATTCTCAAAATGGATGTAGTCCAACCATATTCCTTTTTAACCAATTTTAAATTAGTTTAAACAATATTGTAAGGAAAATAAATGATACTCACCAATGTCTTTTTCACCAAAATCAATGCATAGATCATTATACAATGTTCTTATACATTTTACTTTAGTAATTTTTGAGTTTTGAGTGTGTTCAATTTTTATCATAGTTGTAAATAATTGTTTACATTGTGGTTTTATTTTTTTAAGTTGACTAAACAATTTACGAGTTAAATGTATTCCATACTGAACCAAGTTCCATTCCAAATATTTAAGCCTGATTGCAATATTGATTTCTGGGAATGGAAAATGTGAGCCTTTATGATATAATTCTTGAAGCTAAATATAAATAAAAATATTTATAAAAAAATAATAAATAATATTAATTTTATAATCTCTGAATAATTATTGAAGTAGGTTGTAAAGCTTAATATCAATTATTTATATAGATATTTAATTATGATGGTCTACAAAATATACAAGCATTATTATTTGCATTAAGTATTAACGGAATTAGTTTTATTATTAGAGATTTAAATAATTATTTTTGCACGGGTATCAAGAAGTTATTCAAATATTAATACTTATTTTACCAATGTTGGATTATTGTTCTCTAAATAAGAAATTAGAATTTCCCATAATGGCATCGACTGGCTTTTCAGAACTTGAATACCAGTTTCAAAAACTTCATTGGCCATATTAAGATCGTCATTCCTCAAACAATATGATATTAAATGAATCCAGTGCTCTACATTATCTTTTATCACTTGAACTGCTTTTTTCAGAATCCTACGACGGTCTTCAATTACGTTTTCAGCCTAAATAAAAATAATAAAAAATTTTTATTTATATAAAATACTTATACAGTAATACTTTATGAAAATGTACCCAATAAATATAATGTTCAGCTTTATGTAATGCTTTGTCATAATGTGCTTCTAGAAAGACTCGCTCCATTGTTTTATTTATAAAATTTCTTATAGCCTCGTTTTTCATGAGATAAGATTTTCGAATTTCTATAATATGATCAATATAAAAGTTCCATAAGTTATTTTTATTTTTTAATGGCAAATATTTTTTCAATCCTTCTTCATAGGATTCAATGCAGCTTCTATATAGCAAATAATGTCAATATTAGAAAAAATAAATGTTTTCAAAGGTTAAAATACTGACCTTATACCATTAATATAATTTTTATCATAGTGTAATTGTTCAGTCTTTTGTATATAAATAATACCGCTAAAATTAATTTCAGCTAATTTTTTCCACATTAGTTCACTATGTTTATACTTTTTAACCATATCCCTTTATACAACAAATTTATTTATAAAAATATACAATCAATTTTATTAAAAATTAAGTAATACCTGACTATATTGCATTGCAGTTCTCCAATTGTTTTAAATTTTATTGCTCTGTCCAATAATATAATATGAAATTCGATATCACCTTCAAACTGTTTAATGAGGTTTTTATATTTTCCCATGGCAATCAAAAGAGAAGCACCTGCAGTCTTTTCTAAATGCTGTACTTCTATCCAGAACTCTTCTATATGTAAACTTTTACAATTTTTATGATGTTTTAATCCTTCAGCAAAATATCGTCTAGCTGAATCAACATCATTTCGGTTATCAAATGCATATGTTGCTGCAATTATATATACTTCAGGATCATTATGATATCTCAATATGATCGTATCCAATATGTTTCTACATTTAGTAATAAATAATATCTAAAATCAAAAATTTATAATGAGTAAATAAATAATTAATAGTTAATAACCAAAATCATTTTAATTTGACAATAAAATGAAAATATATTGAAACATATAATAATGGTTATTATTTCAAAATATATTATTAACATTAAAATGTTAGTAATTTAATATTTAAAAAAATAATATTAAAAGAATTGTAAACATTGTGTTTCATTATTTATTATTAAATTATTGGATGATTGATGACTATTGATAGTCCCCATATAAAATTTATTTATTTTTTACATGGATGATATTATTATTAAAATGAGTTATCTTTTATTTTAATGAAATAATCATCATTCATCATAAAAATGAAATTAAGTATTAAAGCTTTACAAATAAAAATATTATCTTAAATTACATATATGCAAAACAGCAATTATTTATATACATAATTTAAATGACATCATATTTGTTAATTATGTATAATAGTCTTTAAAGATTTCCAATAGTTTTGAAGCTAACATAAAATTTAAAAACATATCCTATCTTATATATTAAAACTAATTATCTTTTTTTTGTTATTTATTTACTTACATTATTTGAATGAAACTCAGTGTAAGCTGACAATGAGGTTTTTTCAAGAGGAAACAGTAGAAACATATGTTTGTACATATTATTGATACGATTTGATAAAATAGTAACTATACGGATGTTAATATTTTCTAGGTTAGTTTCTATAATGTTTTGCTGTAAAAGAAAAATTATAATAATTTAAATAATATCAACTTTCATGCTTATACTTACATCAATTTTTTGTAAAAAAGTATCCAGTATATTTAATTCAGCTTTTATTTGTTCTGATAACTCCTCTTTGGTGACCGTCTTAGATTCGATTTTCTGGTTAAGTGATCTTCGATCATCAATCAGCTTTCTTAAATTTAAAAAAAATAAATAAATTTAGTTATGAATTGTAGATAACTACACGCATTTTTAAATACTGGATAACAAAATGTATAAATTACATTAGTTTATTGCGTTTTATTGAACAATAATAATTAATGATACCTATAGATTTTAATTTCCAGATCGTCCACCGACATGATGAAAAACTTTTTTTTTCAATTGGCCAAGGTACAAAACCACAATAATTTGACTACAAAACAATTAACAGTTGAACACATAATATTAAACTAACCTCTTACTAGTGATGAATTCAATTTAATTATTTAGAAAGTAAAATAAAAATTTGTGTTATATCATTACTATGGAAGAAAAATGTTTATATCCGTTTGAATTGAAGTACACTATAACCTCTTTAATCCTTCACCTTCGGACTGAGGGCGTGGTCGGAATGCGAAACAGGTCGGATTATCAGAATATACAGAACATTTTTTTATTTACATATTATATACAAGATTATATCAGAAATTTATTATATTTTACATTACTTAGAAAAACAGTCAGTTATAGATTTTTGTTAAGCAAATGCCATTCTAGACTTAACTGCAATATTCCAAAATACGCACACTGATAGAAACGATACGAGAGAGGTCGGAGTACTAACACAGAATAAACAGAACGGAATCATTTTCATTTAACATGGGCTCTTATGGAAGATGATAAAATCATGTCCAACATTTTATAAAATTAAACATGCTGCCACGTACGGGGAAATAATTGACATTTTTCTTTATTCTGTGTAACACTGTAAATTCGTTCAAATTTACATTTAAAGTTCAAACCAATTGTTTTTCAAGAAATTAAATTTTTAGTTTCTACTTTCTATTAAAGTACTATTAAAGTATTTAGTTTATGTTCAACGTTGCGAGTAAATGAACAAAATAACACATACATATAATTTATTCGGAATGAGATCGTACCTCGGCGGCTGATTTCTGCGCATGGGCGTGGCTTTGTTTCACAGCGCTAGCCTTACGAGCCTTCGTGGTGGCATCTAACCGACGCGAACGAAAACTAGTCGCCGCCGAGGTACTATCTCATTCCGAATCGACTATAGCAGATTATTACTGTGACGTTACATAATCTGTAAGAACACCTCAAGTTTACATTTACTAAATTGAGTTAAGTAAGTTGTGAAAATCCAAACTTTTACTACAGTATAATTCAATATATTTTTTTTCATATATTTGTAATTATCAAAAATAATTTATATATAACAATTATTACAAATAATAACACAAAATATAACAATCAACACATTCTTAATAAAATCATCATATAATTTAATAGGACAATTCAGACTTGAAAGTTACAATGGAATATTAGTAATAAAAGAACATTAGTAATAATATATTTATAAAAAGTTACAATATAATAATACAAAATATTTTAAAAGTTCTGTTTGTTTGTGTTTATGCTTATAATTAGGTATTAAAATATTGAAACATTTTCAATAAAACAATTTTTTAAATAATTATATGATACTACTACTCCTTAAAAAATGCACTGCTTTAACCTCTACAACCCTTTTAATTTAATTGGATAATAAAATATTCATATTTTATTCGTATAAATATATTATATTATATTATATTATATATATTTATCGTGTCACCGAACCTAATATTAATTTAAGTTATTTGAATAAGATGAAATATTAGTAGTCCTAAATTACCTAAATTAGGTATAAATATTTTTATTGTGAAGATTTCAAGTAGTACAAAAAATAACAAATTATTAAAACAAATAACAATCAAGTTTTAAAAAGATCATTAGAAACAATCAGTGAAAAATAAAATTCAGAAAAGCTATATAACGTATTTCAAAATTGCAAATTAACAGTTGGTACCTACAAACCACATAAAACTTAAAAAAACGAAATATCTGTTTCCTGGAAGCACGTTTAATTTCTTAAAATGACGGACCGTTTTTGGCATAGAACAATATAAAAACGACACTCAATTAGGTGGGTGGTCTACTGTATCCCTACGGTATGAAGTATTGGATTCTAAAAGTTAAACCCTTATCCGTAATCTGACTAGATGTTGGTAATGTGTATCCCTATTTGTTACGATATTATAAAAATGGAAACCATTGCCCGCGTGATTTTCGCGGGTCTTATGTAAACAAACATTGCTAGAAACGAGCAAATTTGAAATTGCAATAGTTGCATTTTTTTTATAATTATTCAGTGTTCTTTCAACAGTTTCAACTAATTTTGAACAATATATTGTTCAATGATAATATTGATATTATTTATTTAAGTGATAACGTATGCCGCGCCCCCTGGAGACCGTGTTTAAAACCAATGTTACCCGATTTGGTTAATATCAGATAGTGTTTATACCCTGGTTTTTGGTCAAGCCTTAAGATACCGTTCTGTTTATTATGTGGTACTAAAGCAGACAAGCGATAAGGGAAATATTAAAGTAGCAATTAATTTTATATAATATCTTCTATAAAGTAGAAAATCCAAATTATATTTTTAAATTACATAGTATTCAATATCGATTATACTATGGTTGGATCAACCGGATCGGCGGACCAGCCGAGAGCGCATGAAAGGGGATTCTACTGTAAACAACAAATCAAACAATCACTGGCCACCTGATTTCATTATTATATATTTTTTTAATTATTATTATTTTTTAATATTATATTTAGATTATTTGTAATAAATAATAATATATAACTTGTTGGTTGATTAATTTATTCAATTTATTCATAGAAAAATAACAGAAATCAAATGGGACAAAGCTTATTTAAAAACATTTAATAAATAAAACTAATACAAAATAAAATAAAAATATTATATCTAAGCAAATTTGGTTTTTTTTTTATTATTCATGTATTTTTTTTTTTTTTTTTTTAATAGATGATCCCCTTAAATACTTTTTCGACATACCTAAGTTTAAAATAATACTATTTGGCTGCAATATATTGTTGAAATAGTATAAATAATACACAAGGTTTATTAATTATATATGTTTTTACACACTACAATTTAAGTAGGTACATTAATTGATTAGATGACACATTCCGATTACGGGTATGGCAATATAAAGTCTGAATACAGTCTGATATATGTATAAATGTGATGTTAACGTAGTTAGTCGAGTTATGCGACTGGTTACCTTTATGGATAAATAGTATAATATAGTTTATACGCTCGTACACCCATATACTGTTTTTTGATTAAATACATTTAACTATAATAACGTATCAGTGGCGTGCGGTTATATTTTATGTTGGGTAAGCGCTAAAATAAAATTTCAAGTTAAAACAAAAAAAGGTATTTTATTAATAAAAAATAAAAATTACAATCTAAAATTTATTTATAAACAAAATCTATTCGTCTTTCTTGTTTTATAAATTCGTTAATAACTTTATCATAAAATTCTGGATGATTTTTTTCTTTGTGCAGGAGTTCCTTTTCGATTGAAATTAATGATAATGAAATTAGTCTTTCTTGCCCTTGTGTAGATCTTTGATACGATTTGATACGTTTTAATGCCGAAAAAGAACGTTCAACTGAAGCTGTTGTACTGGGAATAGTTAAAATTAGTTGACTGAGTTTAAATACTTTTTGGAACGCCGATATTAAATCATTCATCTTAAATTTTTGACTAAATCATATGGACTAGTATTTAAAAATTCTTCAGATTTGTATAATACAATTAATTCATTTCGTAATCTAATAAAATCAAATATTTCTCCAAAATTTGATTCTTGCAAGTTTTCTAGAGCAGAATTTGGAAATTCGTTCGTGTAGTTTGAATATTTACTTGGGTCAATTAATGATAAAAATTCAAATTTATTTAAAGAACCAAATCGCGTTTGCAAATTTGTCAATATGTTATCAAATATTTCATTAAAAAGTACTTTGTAAAATGTTTTCGGGTCACGAATTTTACGCTGTAGTTCAAAATCGCCTTTATCTGATAAAACTGTTTCCCATAATTTTTCAAATAGATTTAACCTATAATTTTGCAGTTGACATTTAGTTTCTTCATTTTTTTTCACACAGTATAAAATATCTAAACGTTTAGTTTGTAATACTTCATATAAAATATCAGTCAAACTAAATATTTTACTAAATACTATTAGCAAAAAGTATGTTTGTCGACTATCTAAAAAATTGATGAACCCTTGAGATAATACTATCGCTTCATTATCCCAATCATTAGAATTATCTAATATGTGTTGAAAAAACTCTATGAAATATGAATTGTATTCGTGAACTGTATTTACTAAGCGAGAAGAAAAATTCCATCTAGTCGGCGCATTTTTTGGCATTTATTTTCTTGTAAAATGAGATAAAGCATATGTACGTTTAGAAGATTTAGTAAAAAATGATCCCATACCAGTTAGTGTTTGAAAAAAAATCTTACAGTCTTTTATATTTGATGCTGATTGTGAAAGTACAAGATTTAATAAATGGCTAAATAAAACAATGGACAAATAATGCTTTTGGGTAGAGCTCCTTTACTTTAACTTGTAGTCCTCCAACATGACCACTCATAACGGCCGCTCCGTCATAAGTTTGAGCTACTAATTTATGTTTTAATTCATACCTATTAACTATATCAATTACGTGTTTCAATAAACCATCTGCTGATCTATCAGCACTAACATCGACAAATGAGATAAAACGTTCATGTGCTTCCCCGGTTTCATGATGAACATACCTTAAAGTTGTTAATAATTGAGACAGATTTGTTATGTCTGAAGTTTCATCTAATAATAATGCAACAAAATTAGTATTTTTTATTTCTGATTCAATGGACGTTGATATGATGTTGCTAACTGAGCAAATAAGATCATTTTGAATTCTATTGGATGTACCACGGAATATTTTTGATGTTTCTAAATGCACGTTTAAAATAGAATCATAAGATGATAATACATTTAAACAACCGAGGAAATTTCCCTGATTGAAAGAATTAACTCTTTCATTGTGACCACGAAATGGTAATTCGTGGATCGCCAAAAAACAAACACAATCAATAAAACGTTTTAAAACGTCTCTCTTTTTTTTTTACCAATTCATTATGGCGTATTACATCTGAACGTCTTTGTTCATCAAGCTGCAAATCAATTCTAGATTTTCCAAACATTTTTAATTTTAAAACAGAAGAAATATGTGTTTGAGATCGTTCATGTTTTTGAATGAATAACATTTGTTAAATTATTTAAATTAACAAAACCACTATGAGACCAAACATTTTTTTCCCTGGTAAATAAAACACAAGGCCAACAGAAAAGTTCATTTAATTTTGCACTACCAGTCAACCATGGAGTATTTAAATAATTAGAAATATTAAAATGACGAATGTAAACTTTGTTTTTTTTTTTGTGATAAGATGTCAATTTTGGAATTTCTGGACATGGTCGACCATTTTTTACAATTGTTAATTTTTCATCAAAATTTTTTAAATTAAATTCATTTTCCTAAAGATGTTCGATTAAGCAATTGTTTGAATCAGTATTCATTGTCTATAAAAACAAATATAAACAAGGCGAATATAATTTGATTCTTCTTAATTATAATAATTTTATTTATTTAAATAATAATTATCTATACTAATTCTATAAAATTATGCAATAGGAATTTAATATACTTACATTAAACATTTTTGTTCAACACTAAATTAACTATGAAGACTTGTGGACACGTTGACGGTTGACAACAAAATAATATATTTATTATTAGTATAGTATAGTACTATAGTATAATATAGTATAGTTAAAACTTATAATAAGTATATTGATAACAAAAATAATTCGATATACATCGTAAGAATATTGGAATTCCGTTTTTAAAAATATCGATAAGCGCTCGGCATAGCGCTTTCAACCATCACGTAAAAACGCGTATATCCCCTTCTACCATAACTAGTCATTTCTATAAATAACGATATAGGAAAGGCAATCTAAAATACTAGCGCTTCTGTAGAGAAATTGCCTATACGAAAAAAAAAATTTAATTTCTTTCAAAATCTGATAAATTTTTTTTAAATTGAATACAAAAATAAGAATTAATAAATATTTGTAATTTTAATGTAAACAAATTGTCATTTAACATCAGAAATATTAATCTTTTTATTTTTTTCTTTTTGGCTGGGCATGCGCCGCTTACCTAGCTTGTCCTGACCGCATGCCACTGTAACGTATAGTGTATACTCAACAAAAATTAAGAACTTTATTCTAGTAAAACATTGATTTTGATTATATAATTTTATGAAATCTACTGTAAAATTTAAATTATGAGTCTCTTAAACAATCAATTTTAAGAATAATTTCTATTTAACGTGCATTTTACGGATTTAATTCAGAATTTAATGAAAAATCATCATTAAATGTAAGTACACATATTTTTAGTTTTTAGGATATACTTTTTTTAAATATTATATTATAATTAAATACGTTTGATAAGTATTATCTTTTAGATACACGTGAAATAAATATTCATGATTTATAAATTAATTACCCGCGAATTAAATTTACAGATTTTTAAAGTTAAATAATATATACATGTGATCAAAAAACACGTTATCGTGTGAATAATAATTTCTGTTTAAAATCGAGTTCAACGTAATGGCCTTCTCGCTGTTAGGGGAGCACTAGAAATGAAAAACATTAGAGAAGACTCATTGGATTCACTGCCATAACAATAGTTTAATTAATAATTTACTCCACGTTGAGCTTAAAGTGAAGTCAACAAATTGTTACTATCAAGATCCCCGCAGTCTAAAATAAATAATTTGGGCTGTGGGAGAATTGGATGGCCGGATCATGACGTTCAGGTGCCGTCACTAGACATCATAAGTGTTATAATTTCGGTATGATCGACCCCACAGTAGGTGTATATGTGGCAGTAAGCAGTATAAAAAGGAATAAACAAAGAATTTTTTTCAGCAGTTGCATCCATTATTGAGGCTGTATGGTCGATCGACGGGTTTGACTAATATTTGGTACCAACTACCAGGGGCCTATCCGGAGAGACGTGTGCTGTAGCGATTTCCTAGCGGCGAGTGTGCCGCCGTGCCGCCAACAAGTACTGAATTCGGCGGTCCGCGGTGATGATATTTCTGGAATATGCGCCCCTATTAATCTAATACAATTTCGGAGGTACTCACGCGAAACGTCTGAAGAGTATGACAATGACAAGAAATCACTGCCCTTATCAATAATATAGTAATAACTAGGGCTGAGGACTTTTAGTTTTTTCATATTTTTTTAGAAAGGTCGCAGACAAATTCTAGTGACTAACAAATGTGTTTCATAACACGCAGGAGATCATATATAAAATTAAATTTTGCATATTTTTAAATATTTTGTCATTATATTGCATATATATGCATATTTGAATATATTAGAAAAAATAAGAACATATTTGACAATTTTTGAAATAAGTTCTTAAATTAGCTTAGACAAAAAAGAACAAATTGGTAAAATTTTCCATTTAAAAATAATATTTTTACTATCGATTAGGTAATATTTATTAACTGACCGATAAAATCGATAAAACCGAAATGCGTATTGGTAATAATAAGTGTTTTTCAGTTGTCCGTCAAATTTTTATTTGAAGATGAAGGAGTTGAAAACGAAGAAAGAAAACAAAAAGATCAAGACAACGAAAAAATGTAATTTTAAGTACTTATTAATAAACTAATCATAATGTAATTTTTATTAATATTTTTTTTTTATAAATATTATAATTAGACAAAATAATAAAATAAAATAATTTTTTTTAGAGCATATATTTAGAACATATTTCTTGATTTTTATGTGCATAAGTGCAAGCATTTTTTTAGATTTTTAAGTACTAGAAATCCTCAGCCTTAATAATAACTAAAGCACTGATTTGTATGCGGATATTTATTTTGGTTGATCGTATGATATGCTAAGTGAGCACAAAATTTGTTCCACGACATAACGATTTAAATAATAAAAAATTTTTAGTGCATATTTTGACATTTTTCTATTTTAGAGGCTTATTTTAAAATTTGAATTGCATATTTCATTTTTTAGAGCATATTTTGACGTTTTTTTTTTTATAATTTTTTAATTATATATTATTGCTATCTATTTTAACATAAGAAAAAAAATATTATAGTTTTATAGTTTCGATTAATATCAAATAAACAGTTTTTTTCGATAATGTTAATAGACTTTGAAATAATGAATGTTATAATATGATCAATGAATCACCCAGTATAAAATAAATTGTATTTGATTCTAGTATGAACTGCGTACGAGAGACTGTGTATTCAATTTAAAGTTTTTGATCTCGTGAATTGTTTTATCGATTGTTATTGAAAAATAATTTTCATGCCTATACATTATAATTAAATAACTTAAAAAAAGTTATAATATCTTGAAAATTAACCCATACATAGAATATTCTAATATTTACATTCCGTGTAAATTTGATGAAACTTCGGAACTTCCTTTTTAAATTACAACAAAATAAGAAAATCGAATTTGTCAAAAAATGGTTTTATATAAACATTTTTGTGTTTTATAATTTAGTTTTGTTAATCTTATAACTAAAAAAAAAATATCAAGAGTTTTTTAATTTTGACTTTTTAAAGTCCCAACTTTACTCGCTTTTCTACCAAAAGAGATATTGAAGTTGAAAATCGAAGCTTTTTTCTACTATAAAAGGTTTTGCACGTCCGTATTTCGGATACATGGAGAAAAAAAGCTTCAAAAAAATTGCATATAAATATATTGATATTTTTAATTTAATTTGTTATATTACTCATAAAATAAATTGGATTAATAAATCTTATCTGTAGATGGTAGATGATAATAATTGATAAACGCTGATCGTTTAAATTATTGACAGTATATCTATTTATTATACGTATATCATATAGAATTAGTATTTTGAGTTATGTACGAGTGCTTAGTGAAGAAAGTTCTTAAATTAAACAAAGAAAATTATAAAGATGAATAAATTACAGTCGAATTCGCTTATAATGATGCCGTTTACAACGATATTCCGGGAAAAACGATTCCAAGCAATGTATTTGATTGGTTTTATATCTTATGTGTTGTTACATTTTATAATCTGAATATAACGAAGTTCGGTTATAATGATCAAATTCTTTTGGTCCCTAGAAGATCGTAATAAGCGAATTTGACTGTAAATTGAAATACTTGTACTATACCTAAGAAATGCAAAAATATTATTCGATGGTACTGTTCAAAAAAAAAAAAAATCAACGAAATACACTGCTATATAATTACAGATTTAAACTTTACAAAGAATGTATAATTGGAACACAAAAATTATTGTACTGCTAATAAGGATTCGATGGAAGCCATTAAAATCGAACAAAATAATGGAAATAAATGTTTATTTCAGGTTTTTAATGATCCTGGACAAATATTTACTCAAACTTTTGAAAATATATATCTATACAAAAAAAAAAAAAATATTAATTAAATTTCTATCTGACAATTTTATAAAGATAAGTATAGATACCATATTATAAAACTACATAGTTTAAATTAGACAAAACAAAAAATCTACAAAAACTTATTATTGAAGGTTTTCATCATGATTATTAAATAATTTTTTTTAATTAAAATGAAAAATGAAAATTATATTGTGTGTAGAACGTAATAATAAAAGTGAAAATTTTCAATTCATTACGAATAAATTTTTCAAACAAATTTCTAATATAAACCTACTTATAATCAGGGTTGGGATTTTATAACATTTGCATACTTCTTATGAGATGCTTAAAAAATAGTAGAGTAAACTAAAAATGTGTTTCATGATAGGTACAGAGAATTTTATTTAGCATATTTTGCGATTTTTTAGTTTTTAGTGCTTTTTTGGACTTTTTTCATTTTTACCTGTTTTTGAATAAAAATTGATCATATTTTATGAAATTATGTTTTTGTAAACGTGTTTTAAGATTATTGTCAGTCGAATTTTCAAGTAACTAAATTGTAAATATATAAATTAAGTAAATATAGACCGATTACGTTAATAACGACGCGAGCAACGCCGTACAATTACAGCGAAAATATATAAGTATAAATGTATAATATAATATTACAATAATTTCGTATAAGGTATTTGATTCTAATTTTTGTT